TTGTGCCATACGTTAAAGAACTAAATCGCAGCATACTGATGAATATAACCAGCAGCCAAGATTGATCAACAAAACCTGCTCTATCGGTTCTTGCAGAACACAAGAATCCCTTGTTTTGCGCAGTAGCAACTAAACAGAATTTAAATGCTCTACTCTGTGAATGTGTGGAACATAAGGTATCCTAACTGCAATGTATATGCATGTTCTGGTCTTTTCAGAAGGCTCTACAGAGTATTAAAGATCTTATATATACTGTTTGGGATGTCAATTTTCATTATCCTACTAAGACTTTATAAGGGAAAAACAGACTTTTAGAGGAACCTGGATTAAAGCCAACTAATATGACAAGTAAACAGATCACAGGTCATGCTATTCATGCTCTGCCACAGTAAAACAGTAGTTATCACACCTGAAACTTTAAATATTAATAGCCACTTCCATAAATTTGAGAAGTGTATATGAAGAACGAGCTGAAAAATTAGTTTTTTCTGTCTAGATTTTAGAAAGTTAGCTACTAACATCTGAATATATTTAACTGCATGCTGTATTACATTGTTGCCACATGAACAAATAACTACTGGCAGGTTTAAACAAGCAAGAGAGCAGGAAAAAGTACAGGGATAGTGTTTAAAACTTCAGAGAAAAACAGTCCCAACAGAAACCTGAACAGACTTACCATGGATTCTGTTCTTCCAACAACAGAAAACCACATTTTGATCTCCGGGACTACAGATCCTTGAAAGAAAAAAGACAGTTCTCCACTTCTCTTCCAGCCCTCAACAGCAGCTACGGCTCTAGTCTGCTGGATTTTCCAAGATACCCATCAAGATAACTCGGCGCTGGATGCTATGACACAGTGTAGCATTTATCAACACCAGCTATAACCAATACAATATTCAGGCTCTTACGTAATCACTTATGCCGTTCTGACTTCCATTTACTTTAGAGGCTTTATTAAACTTTGAAAACTGCTAGAAAAAACAAGAAGGGAGCCCTTTTTGTACAGAAGACAAAAACCCCTCCAAATTAAACAGGAAGTAATGTGCTGGCCCACAGATGGCTAAGAAGTCACATGCGAAAGCCCCCAAAAAGCGATATATTTTTAAAGTAAACTGCATGCACACGCTGCTTCCAAATCATCTGGATTTCATAAAAACTTAACCGCAATGTGGTTGGGAGTCAGGCAGCTTTTAACATCAAAACATCTTACAGGGTTAGAGCAACCAGATTCTGCACACAACCTCAAAAAGCAATACTGTTCCCAATGCCCGACCACTCCTACCAACTACATTTCCATACGCCTATTACAAAAGCTACTGCTAATAAAGCTACAGCAGTATTACTGGAAGAAAACATGCAACACCTACAAAAGGTTAGAACAACAAGTTACCTTTCTGGATCGCAGCTGAAGCTATACAATTTAACTTTAAATAAAAAGAAAAATCTGTGTAAAGTCTAAGAAATGTTGTTAGGTGTCTTCCCAATTTAAAAACCCCAAACACACACAACACTGTTTACAGTGCTCTGGCAGCTAACAGCTGTTTCATAACTAAACTTGTTCTCCCTGGTACGTTTGCATATAGCGTACATGCTTACTACACGGTTGCTGAAAGGGGCTGTCCTGCCTCAGAAAACACCCTTACAGCAAGGCGAGGGGAACTGGGCGATGCGCAGCATTTCTGCTCTCTCCGGCACTCCTGGCAGGCCTGTAAAGCTTCTATTTCACAGCTACTCTTATTTTATTTAATTAGAAGTCATGCACTTGAACATTTTACCTGTCATTAGGTGGAGAGAGAATCAAACAGAGGGTTCCCCAGGGACCTAACACTTTCATATACTCCTTGACTCACCGCCTTTGGTTTTGTTTTGTTTTTACATTAACGTCAACGTGGTTGCCATCACCTAGCATCACAAACTGAAACCATCTATCATAGGAATAAGCAGGTGCACAGCATTTCAACACAGGTTACGTCACTTCTCTGCTTGTATAACCTCAGCTTTAACTCCAATCATTTTGACTGCAGCAGAGGCAGCGTGACAATCACTTGGTAATTAACAACATTTGCTGTGGAAGGGGTACGTAAGGTATGGTATCGAATTCCCCTTTAAAGACTTCTAATTGGCACAGACTTTATTTATCTACAAACCCTTGCAAACTAATAAAAACTCAGAGAATTATCAAATGATAAATTTGTTACATGTTTCCTCAGAAATGAGCACGGATTCCTAGGAAAGCATAGATTTTTTGCAATGGGTAGAAGGAAGAAAAGCAGTCAGTAGGAACTACTTTTCTTTACAATCTCTGAGAATCTGCCCATTCCATACCTCTCTAGAATGTCACCAATCTACACTTTAACCAACTTCATCCAAAGCCAGTGACAAGTACAAGGAGCCCGTTAAGACTCAACAAGAAAGGCAGGTCAGCACTGACATGCAAAGGCATTCTCCCAGCACGCTACTGAGAGGAACTATTTTGTCACATCAGAGGGAAAAATCCCAACTGTTTTCCTAACCAAAGTGGAATAGTTTCAGGGTTGTCTTTCACTGGTTGGAGCAGGGCCACCTGTTGACCAGCCACTGCAGTTTCTTTTATTACAGCACTTCTGAAGCACTCTAGAAACCAGTAGTTTGATAAATGTAACTGGGTCAGCAATCAAACTGGGATCCTGTGGCAGCAGTAACTGTGTGTTTCTGAAGCTGAACATGCGTTTTCATTTATGCAGCTAGAAGGTACTTTCATATGAACATTTTACAGCCAACCTTTTACTACTAAGAAAGTTAGAAAAACCTAAATCTATTCTCACACTTGCCTCTCCCTCTCATCTCAGGTATTCTGTCCAGTTAATGTTTGGAAAGCTTTAACGAATAGTCTAATGGACCTCTTCCTCCATTTTCCTCAGGCAAAGGGAAAAAAACCCAAGAATTTTAATTTTTATGCTGGTAAAAGATGCATGACTTGAGATAGGTCAGAAAACTTATTAGTGAAAGTCAACAAAGATAGGAACAGAAAGAAAAAAATCTATCCACTATTGCTAGCTTTTCAGTGACACTCAATTCTCTAATCTGTTCTGCTCTGGCCAGATTGAGAAATGTAATGCCTGTGTATTCTTCCTTACTCTGTGTTTATGAAGCCTATTATGGGGAAAACATGCTATTAATTACTTACAATAAGCAACTTTGAACCCCTTGAAATAATCCCTTGAAGATAATCCTACCTAACTACCACAGCAACTTGTTTCAACACTTAATGCGAGACAATTCTTTCTATCCAATGAATATTCTGCTGACTTCAGATTAAGCAAAAGTTTCTATTCTACATACACTGAAACTAAAATAAAGATCTGCCTCTTGTTTATTTCAGTTCAAGATTTAAGACATAATCATTTTAAAATCAGAATTCAAAATCTGAGGCAGGCACACAGCAGCAAGATGAAATGCAATCACTGCCTGAACCAGTGAGTGTTTCTGCAACTGTGCTGAGATGAAGACTGCTGCTTCCATCATTATGTTCAAGAAATCATGAAACTGGTTAAATAACTTGGAAAAAAACTTTCTAATCAAGCTTACACACTGACCAGTAGCACTGTTACGTACTGCTAATGGAAGTTAAGAGTGTCAGCCTTTAAAACAATGTATAGAAGCCATCCAGCTCCAGTGAGAAAGGAAACTTCCCCCCGTTCTATCCTGCTTCTCTCTGCATAAGAAATCAGATTTCACAGTTTAAAGTGAAAAAAAAAATAAAAAATTCCACTACACATTTTGAAACATCCAACAGAAATGCAGATGGCAGAAGTCTGATACATATTTAATCTAGCGTATCTCAAGGTCTAGTATTTGCTTCTCAAATTATTAACCCACTCCGCCAAAATAAGAGCAGAATATTGAGTCACATTTTTCAGATCCTGAACAGTTTCCTCAATAACTGCTGATTGTTAGCAACATACACCTGACACCTACTATTCCTCTACAGATGTCAGAAATAAATCTTAAAAGCTGATACCATGCAAGATTACCATTTCAAGAACAGACTAGGAAATGAGCAAAGTTGTAGAAAAAAACCAGTGCTGTTTAGAAGCAATTAAGTATGCGAGATAACTTAAAAGCAGTAAAACAATCATGTTTTCAGCCCACGCACTAAGTGCCACGGAAGAGTACAGCATTCTGAAGTTTCATGTAGTAGACAGTGAACAGACGTTAGGAAAGACTTGTTCTATCTGTTGCACACCACATAATTACAACAAAGACTTTTGGATATCACCATTGCATAATTTATAACAAGCTTAAAACTTCAAGATTATGTCTGCTATGTGACCCAGTTAATAAAGCAAAACCAACCAACTAGTGGAGTCCTCCATCTGGTGGCTGGAGTTGTATGTGCATTCTATATATCACTATCTAGTGCTACTAAGAGCAGCATACACCCACAATTTCGGTAAGTCAGGGCAGGAGGTATGCCCTCCTTCACCAAGCTACTTAATATGCTGTAGCCCTCTACTATAAAGAAATAAAACTGAAGTCATACATGCTTCTGCACACCGTGCAAAAGATAAGGTATTGTCTTCATAGCAGAAAGTGTAAAAACTTTAATGTATATATTTGAGTTATTTTTATTCATTAAATTAAAAAAAAATAACACCACATTTTATTCTTTATATTTACTGCTTTTCTTTCCCAGATACTGCTGCTACTTTTCAGCAGAAGCCTGTTTATTAATTTCATTTCATAACAATGCCAATATTTGGCTCTGAAGAATGAGTAAACCTGTAGCAGAGGTTTAAACTTAAATGTCAGAAACAACTACATACATGTTACGTTTCCTCTTATATTGATCACATCTGTGCATTTTACAGAAATGTTCCCCAGCCACAATAAAAGTATGATCAACACGATGTGCACAACAAACTTAAGGGAAATAGATTTTTCCATTAACGTTTTCCACAGTAGGTTGATTAAAAAAAAAAATAATCTTTTTTCAATAACACACAAACTGACTTCCATACCTTGGCAGCAACAATGCTCAGGCCCATTCCATTTTGTTTTTTCAGTGTTACAGTAATAATTTCAGGTTCTTTCCTCAAAGGCTGAGCCTATCAAACAGGGAAGGAGAAAGAAAAAAAAATACAAAAGTTCATATTCACTGCCAGGCTAGGAAGATTAACTATTTTGCACAGTAATCTACAATCAAAACTAAGTTGTTAGTGCAGCACCAGATCTCACACCCTAAATAATACGTCTGGTACTTCATTTCAAAGGTAGATTGTCTACCATTTGATTAATATGGATTCACATTATCAAATACTACACCTGTGTTATGAATACTGCCGAAGCTTTGAAGTCTACCCATTGTTTCTTCTTCTCTAATTCAGTAAACAGATTATTAATGAGTCACAATTTGAAATCTAACAGGCCTATAAAACTGTAGTAACTTTTAATGAAAACTGAAGCTCAGACTCAGTAGGCCCCTATTAGAAAGCTGAGGGTGATCTACATGGAGCTCAGTTTTTAGTGCTGAGTTAAAGCTTTGAAAGAAAGTGCCAGTAATTTTCTCTTCTGAAAACTCTGTAACTCGAATATAGCCTGAGCCCCTAAAAGTGTTCAGTAATTTTTTTATATCTTTGCAACATTGCCAATTACCTCAAAAAGTTGCCATCATGGTCTTCATTAGCTGAAGCACGCAAGTTAGAGTACCCTAGCTTGTATTCACATTAAAACCTGCTAACTGCAAGTTCCACAAGACTCATGACAAAGTAAAAATATAAGCAAAGAAATTAATTAAAAAAAAAGATTAACACTTTTTGATTAAGTTCAAGTATTAGAAAAGCAAGTAGTTTTTAAGCTAGGAGTATTCTAGCACTCCTGTGCCAAGATTGTCAGAAGAACAGAATCTGTTCCTACTTTATTTAGGATTTTTTTCCCATTAATTTGAACAAAAACATTATTAAACTAATTCAGCAAAAAACCATATACACTGGAAAAGGTAAGCCATGAGGAACATAACTTTACCAGTAGTCTATACTGAATTTCTCTCTTGGTCTAAGAATAAAAAAAAAAATTCAGTGAAAATTTGAGGAGGACTGCCTAGCCTGGGCATAGTTACCTCATACTGAAGTGAAATCTTTCTTTAACAAGTATAATGAAAAGCAAAACTAAAGAATTTTTCCTGAAAACCTAGCAGAAAAAAGTACCAGATTACAACTTATTACCAAACATTTAGTTGGGAAATGCCACTTATAAATAAAAGCAGCCTGCAGCTCCATTCGCATTACAAGTTATTTACAGATGCATGTCCATATATGTTTTTGCCTGTGTTTAAAAGTAAATCTTCACTGTTTACCCCCAGGGTGGGGGAACTTGACAAAGTCTCCTTATATGAGAATTATACCATGCCACAGCCTAGAAAAACATTGACGTACAAAAATCTGCAAATAGTTCCATAAATTCACCAAATCACTGATGAACTACATGTTGAATGATGAGGCCTGTTCTTCCTAAGAAGGACTAAAACTCATCGCGTATAACACAATGGCTTGCCATGGTACCAGTTTTGACAATTATTCACTGAATCAATACTTACTAGCTCAGCATTCTCATGTGACAAGTGACTTTCATAGTCTGCACCCTCAAAGTATATCGTCCATGTGCCTGGTGACCGTGGATGTGGTGTTAGTCTACAAAAACCTAAAAGAGAAAGCAGCATCAACGTAGTCACAGTATTTTCTCAACAGACTGATTAAACTCAAATAGCCTGTCACAAGGAAATACAGAACAGCATTATTTATCTTTTTATATTAATTAGTATGTTGAATCTTGCATCTTAGATGCCATTATGTGCTTCACTGCAATTTTATGGTATCTACAAAATCCTACAGTTCTATTCTACTTATGCAGAATGTTGCTTGTACCAACCAGACTCAAAAGAGACATGAGACACCAAGTCACCTTTTAGAATACAAACCACCAGAACTCTGAATAAGATAGCACCACAGAAATCTTCTGCTTTGCAGAGAACCTAGCTAACCAGTCTCAGCATAGATTTGGCAGAGGTGAAGCTTCACCTGGATTCATTACTTTTTTTAATTGCAACTATGCAGTTAGAAGTTGAGGTTTGATTTGTTTTTTGTTAATCGAGCAATTCCTAGAATTTGGAAAAAAGGAGCCACAGCAACTGAGAGGTATCCAACATTGCCTCCTAAATCAGGGACAGTGAGAATCCACATCACAGTCAAACTATGAAATCACTCCATCCAAATAGATGAGATCCTGCTCCTCACAAAGACCATCCTTCAGCAATTCAGTTTACACTGATTTACTACAAACCAGTCCCTCAACATAATTTTAAGGATACCTAAAATTAAAATTTTGAATGTATGCATTAAATAGGCCTTACTTGTAATAACTATACAGACATTCATATGGCAAATATATTATACTTACTAATTAAAGAATTTATTCTACTAGTCATCTTTAGTCTCAAGACTACATCCTCTATAACTCACTGTACTTTCAAAACAGTTTCCTACTATTTTTTTTTTAAATGCAAGAATACGGCTTTTCTATAAACTAAGTTGAAAACAGTAAGTGGAAAACTTCACTGTAGGACACAGTAAGTCTGCTTTGTTGATAGCCTCCTTTGGTGTCCTACCTACCATGGTATTCCTGTGGAAATTTTTAAAAAACTGCTTTTTAAGCAGGAAGTTCTTGACAAATTATGTAATAAAAAGGCTTCTAATAAAATTGAATAGCACAAGGTAAGGTTCATAACTTGTTCATTCACTGTAAATGCTCTGGGAGACCCCCTGCTTTACTTTCTCAAGTTTAGGTCACTCATCTGAAATTTTCTTGGACTACAAATGTCCAAACAATACATTCTCACATTGAAGAACCATCTTAAGTTCGTGGCTTTTTTAATGTTATATGGAAGCAGCTGATGAGTAAAAGAAGTGATGTAACTATTTAACTTACATTAGCTTTAAAAGTAATAGACTGTGCAATTGTTGAAGTACTACAAAATTTACAAAATTTGCAAAGGCAAAACCAAGTTTCAGTAGGCACTAGTAAATTAGCACTGCTTATTTAGAACCATTAAAGTGAATGAAAGGGACAAGGAGAATAGGTAAGGATTAAGAAATCCTGCTTACTTTTTATGGGTTGCAAAAGTAAACACTTGAAAAACACACTCTAAAATATTGAAACACATGTAAAGAAAGTGGTTTACATTTAACTAAAATACATTTTGCATTCTGTGTTCACTATACCAAAAAGAAGATTGCTGTAAAACAACAGAACTAACCTCTCTGACAGAGTGGATCTAAAAATTCCTGTAAACCACTTGGAACGTTTCTGACAACATCGCAGGAATAGCCATCTTCTGGTAAAAGAAAAGGTAGCTGCAAGTCTGGATCCTCTTCCAGTTGGACTTCTCGGCCATCGCTGCGAGCAAGTTCATCAGCCGTATTTTCTGCAACAGTTACTACATTCTCTATCAATTCCTGCACAGAAAGCAGAAAGACATTGTTACTATAAAGGGATAATTTTCATTAACAAAAAAACCTAATATTAAGAAAATACTAAGACTGCAAGAAAAAGGAATTTGGAAAAATAAATTACCAGATATAAAACTTCTTTGGCTCCGCCATGTACAGTCAGTATACTGCATGGCTTTATTTGATTAAATCCCATAGATTATGTAGTTAGGGGATATAACAGAAGCATTTATTTTTACTTCAATATTTTCAAAACTTATGGTGCATGTTTTTACTTGTTACCAGAGCTGTATTTAAAAATATATAGCAGAGAATATGGCGTGTGCAGAGGTGGAATCACAGGCAGCTTTAAAATTTTGACACTTGGTTGAGTGTATATATACTTCTGTAAGACTAAATATATAGAAAGGAAACAGAAAACTTGTGTAAAACAGGATTTTCAGCTCCATCAGGACACATACACCCACGGAGAACTGATGGCATATAGAGCTCCCTAGTTTGGAAGTTTTATAGAACTAAGTTAATTCTACATTTCCTGGGAGCTCAGTATAATGTGAAGGATCCCTTAAGGTAGATACCTATTTTTTTAAATAACACTGCAGAAGCACGCAACACAAGAGCAGGATCACTCAAGGTGCGGCAGAGATCTTTTACAGTTTTACATTTGGTGCCCAACCGTTCTGCTTAATATCACAAAAAGTCCTGTGAAACCAGTGAACTTTTAACAACGTAGCTACTGTAGTTGCATGGAGCACACAGCAGTCTTCCTTCTACATTTTAGAGAGATTTGTAAGGTTTCAGTAGGATTATCTGTTACTAGAGTGTATGAACTGAGGAAAATTAATTCAGAAGTCAATAAATCAAATGCCTAACAACTCTGCAAAAAGTAAAGGTCCAAGCAGCACTTTGTGTTTCTACATTCTTCTATTTATCCCAGATTACTCAAAAGAGTGTACAGTGAAAAGGCTCTTATCTCTCCTCAAGCAGTTCCTCCATTTTTCTGTTACCTTGTATGCCTTAGGCTGGCCTACGTTTTAGCATGAAAGTATTCTGTTGTTTAGTGAAATTTAAAAAACAAAAAAAAAAAGTTACTGGCAGCTTTTTAAAAGGCATGTAAGTAGTAATTCTCTGAGCACTCAGTCTCTTCCAAGTTGCATGCTCTGCCTTAGGAACCAAGAAATCACCCCAGGTTTGACTCATCGCTATTTTTGAACGAGCAGGCAGCTTCAATACTTAAAAGTATCTGTACCTCTAGTTAACCAGCATTCTTTCTGGAAGGGAACTCAGCCCAGAGATGTGTGATTTTGCTGGCATCAAGACAGAATTACTGTCTTAATGATTTATCTGAAGCTGCTACAAGTATTACATACAGATTCCTTTACTACAAGAATTTCTTTTACTGAAGATTCAGATGTGATTTCCAGTCTCTTTCTACAGCTTCTACTTGGCTCCCAAGACCAGCTTAACAGTTTGGTCTTAATCTCACCCCAGTTACACTAACATGCAACTCAGAATCTGTAAGCCTGATACAACAGGTTTATTACTGGAGCACAATGCAGAACACAGTTGAGACAAAACCACATATAAGTGTTCTCATCTGAATATTCAGTTTCAGCAAATTTCCTGGGAGAAGTCAAAGGCAGCCTTTTTTTAGAAGGGCCTTCCTTGAGAAGGGCCTTTTTACCATAAATGCTGCTCATTTTAAAAGAATTACATCAAACTAAAGTATGTAGAAGTAAATAAATTTATATTCTTTTGAACAAATTCCAAGCCTTGAAATTTTTCAGATTTGGCAGCAGTAAGTCAGAGTTTGAGTGTACAAGTCTTTCATAGCAAGGAGCAAAGAAGTCCCAGATACCACTTCTCCACAAGAGGACAAGTTAGCCACATTGTAATCCTCCCTCTGACACAAAAATGATGACCTGCCAAATCTAGCCCTATATTTCCTTAGAGGTTCCTAAAGAACAATCATAATAAACTATGGAACCTATGAGTAAACAGGAAATAGAAGGTATGTTCTTAAGAGAATCACAGAATAGCAAGGGTTGGAAGGGACCTCGGGAGATCATCTAGTCCAACCCTCCTGCTAAAGCAGGTTCACCTAGAGCAGGTTGCACAGGACATGGTCCAGGTAGGCTTTGAGTATCTCCAGAGAAGGAGACTCCACAACCCCCCTGGGCAGCCTGTTCCAGCGCTCTGTCACCCTCAAAGTACAGAAGTTCTTCCTCATGTTCAACTGAAACCTCTTATGCTTCAGTTTGTGCCCACTGCCCCTTGTCCTGTCGCTGGGCACCACTGAGAAGAGTCTGGCTCTGTCCTCGTGACATCCACCCTTATGATATTTGTATATGTTGATGAGATCCCCTCTCAGTCTTCTCTTCTTCAGGGCTAAACAAGCCCAGCTCCCTCAGCCTTTGCTCATAGAGATGTTCCAGTCCCCTGATCATCTTTGTTGCCCTCCTCTGGACTCTCTAAGAGTTCCTCATCTTTCTTGAACTGGGGAGCCCAGAACTGGACACAGTACTCCAAATACAGTACTTCAGCAAAAGACTTTTTGGTTTGATACCCAATATATAAAAATATATCCAATCTACGAGTTCCCCCTAACAACTTTAGGACCATTGTATTAGAACCTTTGATTTAATGAACAGAGGTATTAAAATTTATTTAAAAATACTTTGTAAACAATGCATTCAGTTATACAGTTGCATTCAGATATGATGATTATCTTCACCTTTTAAGATTTTTTAGATCAGTCAACTATCCTGTAATCAGGGTTTACCTTAAGAGTTTTCATCCACATATGATTACAACTCTGCAAGGAACACAAAACCCCTTTTGACTTTTGCCAAAAAGATGTTTCCCATGGATAAAACTTAGAATTGTCAGTCTTAAATATCAAGATAAAAACCAGTTCTGAAAACAACTTACATATACAACCACATATGTGTTCCATGTATCAATCTGTCCACTGTTTATATGAAGAGATTCAAGATTCATGGATTTTTGCATCCCACATACAAAAAAAGTTTAGTGTTCCTGCTTCTTTCATTTGATTTCTATAGTCAAAATTTCAATCTTTGCTCCTTGTGGTTACGCATAGAACTAGCTTTCGGGAGTGCTCTGTGCACCTCTCCTCTACCAACTTACTGGATTTCATCCACAAATGGTGTAAGATGCAGTGACACCTCTCTGAGTATGCTCAACGTGCAGCGTGTTACCTTACATTCCAACTTGGTGTAAGAGAGATTTTTAGTAATGTCCTGCTCGAGTTGCAGTGAAGTACACCCACCCAAGTTGGCGGCCAGAACTTATTGTATGGGGAGCAGATTGCCCACTCTGACTCCTTGTAACAAATCCAACCCAATCAACAGTAAGATAGCCGTTTTCAGCCAGTGTTTTTACTTTAAGTCTATACTCCTCAGGTATTTTAAGCAGCACAGTAAGTGATAGAAGAGACTTACTGTTGGGATGAGTGGTTCATCTGGAGCACAGTGATAATTCTGCAACAAAGCTTGTAACTGCAGAGAATTCAGCTTAAAGCAAGTACTGTTAATATTTGGAACATCTGCATTTGAATATTTGTCCATAGTAAGCAATGTGGTTGCCTAGGAGAGAAAAAAAAAACCAGTCACCAGAGACAAATCCAAACCAAAATGAAATCTTAAGCCTTTTTTCTGAGTTTTCTTTAGATGGGAGCTCAGAAAAGACAAAGCAAGAAACCAGATTTGTTACATAAGCAACATAAATATCCTCAAAATAACCACTAAATCTATGTCCTGTACCTACAAGATGAATTAATACTAAACCTATCATAAATGAGGCATATCAATTTTTCAGCTACTCTTCTTGTCTCCGTTCAGCATAGTTATAACTCAGCCTTAGAAACAAATTGAACAGCATGCTGGCTAAAATAACTTATTATTAATTTCACTTGTAACTTAAATAATAATGAGGTTGAAAACATGTTTTGTGTCTTTGCATTCTACTTCAGTGTTCCAGGATCGATTCACACAAACTACACTTGTTCACATGCTGATCTCCAGGAACACAGAATATATAAATATTGTCTTTGAATATACAATTATCTGAGAAGTGTTAATCAGAAATACACACTCACCTGCACTATTCTGCTCAGGTGGCAATCAGCAGCCAATTCCAAACCCTGTTTTTCTGCCCAGGCTTCAATATGGCCCAACTGCTGACGAACAATAGCTCCCCAATAATGTGAACATAACCCTGAATCTGGGGCTGTAACTAATCTGTTAAAAAGCCACATGTTGATAAAATGAAACAGCTGGGAGAAGAGCTGTATAGTCAGAGCAGCATTCACTCTACATCTTCGCAAGAGGGACATAGCTCCAGTCAATGTATGCAGCACATCATCTACAGAGATGAAACAAAAAGTAAATCACACTCACATACTGCAATGTACAACCGGTTTAGGCCATAAATAATAATACAGAGACACCTAACCCAGATTAGTGAATGCTTGGTGGAACCTACATGTCTAAGTTATAGAGACTTTCAGAAATAAATTTACTGCTTCATGGTTTTCAAGATGGAACAACATTAACCTGATTGCTGCATACCTGATAGCTGTTTTTTAACTCCTGAAATGAAAATAAATGCTTTTGGGGAAACATTTAGCATACAAGTGTATCACTGGTTATATATGACACTTAAATAATGTCTTCATCACTTGAGTAAACTCATTTTTCTGTTATTTTAGTAACAAGTTAAAACCTTTATATTCTACTCTTTCAAATGCATATTGCAATTATTCCATAGCTCCTTGCAGTTAAATATCAAACTATATTAAAAAATTTCAGCAAAAACTTATTTGCATTGCATGATGTACTTAAACTGCAGAATGCATCTCGTGTTTACACATTAGTTTTTTTAAGGTATTATACAAATTTCCTTTTGCCCATTAGTTCACTGCAGTATTACATAAGAAGCAATAGGGTCTTCCTGTTAGCTTCACCAAGAGCAAACATCCTTATATGCTATATGAATGCAAGTAGAACATTTATCTCCAAGCCTTCTTTTAAGGCAATAGTTTAATTTGGTGGTCGCTTCAATAGAGATTTCAGAAAAATTCCTTTAGCATTGAAACACAGGATTGTGACTGAAAAAAATTATCCATGTGCTAATGATAGAAATCTATAAAGCAGCTCAAAAATAACCGAAATAATGAACATTGTCTGCCTTTATTCCAATGTCTGTTTGCTACTTTTTTCAGGGTTTGTGTCCCAGAAAGTTCTCTCTCTTACAGCACAGGGCACTAAAAAAAAGCAGTACATCTTTATATTCTTTCTTCAATGCTCAACACAGGAAAAAAAGCAATTGCAGCAAGCTTAATACCCAAAAGACCAGGAAGTATATATGAATTTTGTATAAATACTCTTCGTAGTTGCACAGAATGACTGTACTTAATAGCTCTGCAGATCATCTTTACCTCAATTATTCAGAATGTCGCTATCTTAACTCTTCCTAACCTTTTATCCCCAGTTAATCCCTTCAAATGTGAGGATTTTTTACATTTTCCATTTTCTCCTTTAGTCATCAGGCTACATAATGTAGGAGGCTCTCACACCTTCCCCATGAAAAGCACAACGGGGAGTCCTGTCTCAGGGGCCTGTGCATGAATGTGTTCAGCCGGGCAATTCTAAGCACAGCCACTGAGCCAGGCTTAGAGACGTAGTAGGACAGCGCACATGACCAGAATGCTCTCATGGACAGAACAGCCCAGGAAGGCTGACACTGCTGCAAAGCACTACCATATTTAAAGTATCATGGCAGGAATATACAAGGCAAGTCAGCTTAACCTTAGTACCTGGGAGGTACTTGGTCAGATTCTCCCATAGCATCCTTATAGTGAAACTGCTGAGATAAGGACTGGATAAGCGATGATACTGTAGGTAGAGAATTGGCTGGACCACTGGACTTGGTGGATTTGTGGGTATGAAGTCCAGCTGGCAGTCAGCTGTTAGTGGCTTCCCTCATAGATTGAGGCTGGGACTGATACTGTTTAATGACTTTATTAATGACCCGAGTGATTGGATAGAGTGCATTCTCAGCAAATTCAGAGATGATACCAAGCTGGGGGGAAATACTGATACACTGAAGGGCAGCAGTATTTTTCAGAAGGGCCTCAGTAGGCTGGAGGGGCTCACAGGGAATTCATAAAGTTCAAAGGCAACTGCCAAGTCCTGCATATGGGAAGGAATAAGCCTGTGCAACAGTCTAAGCTGGATGCCACCTGGATAGAAAGCAGCCCTGCTGACAATGTTGTAGAGATGCTAGTAAATATCACGTTGAATGTGATTAAGCAGCGTGTCCTTGCTTGAAAGGTAGCCAGCTGCATACTAAGCTGTTAAATTAGCAGCAGTGAAGCTAGCAAAAGGAAGGGAAGCAATCCCTCCTGTGAATTCAGCATTTGTGAGACTGCATATGGAGAGTAGCATTCAGTTTTAGACTCCCCAGCACAATGAAGGTATCAATTTAATGGAGCGAATTCAGCAGAGAGCCACCAAGATGATTAGGTGGCTGAAGAAAAGGACATAAAAGAGGGACAGAGATTTATTTCTGTCTTCATCTACCTAACGGAGGGTTCAGAGCAAGATCCCAAAGGTACACAGTGATAGCACAGAACAACAGACAAACCAACACAAAAACTGCAACACGGGAAATTCCAATTAGGTGCAGGAAACATGTTTTCACCATGAGGGTGGTCGAACATTGGAACAGGTTACTCGACAATGTTGTGGCATCTCCATCCCTCAGCGGAGATTCAAAACCCAACTGGGCAATACTCTGAACAACCTGATCCAGTTGCACCTGCCTGGACCCTGGATTAAGATGACATCCAGAGGTTTCCCTCCAAACTAAATTATTCCGTGATTTTTAAATCCAATACAGATCATTTGAATGTTATTACTGTCCTTTCTTATCATCCCTACAAATTAATCCAAACAATTCTCAGGGGTTAGGGCAACTTGTAAATGTCACATCACTGTTAAGAAAAATTCTATTTATTACTAATTAATTGTATGGTTTAGAAGACACAAGAAAAGATCAAGTAGTCTTACCTATTTTAGGCCTCTGAGGATTATTTTCCTCTGGATCATCAAGGAATGCTGTCATGTAGTTATTGAGCTCTGATTGCAGACAATGAACTAGGTACCTGGGAGGGAGAGGGAAAAAAAGAAATTAAAAAATCCTGTATGTGTTCATTATGAATGCTTCAAAGGAAGAGAGATCTATCAAATTACAAGATTCCTGAAATCACAGTGTTATGTATGTGGCTACAGGGAACCAAATAACACTTTTTGAAAGGCCAGAGAGACCGGTTTTCCCATACTTTTTCTGGAAATGTTAGAAAAAGAATTAGGTTGTCAGAACAACCTAATTAGGGAACAAACACAGCCACTTAAATGCAATATGGCTACCACACTTGCAAGAGAAGTTCATATGCTACATGAAGAGATCCCGTCAGGCCAAACTTTCGTTCTGTAACATTGCAAAAACTATTTTTTTTCAAACAAAAATACACTTTTCTGTTCTAAATTATACCATGAGTATTATTAAGAAAAAAAATTTCCTATTCTGAACCAGTACACAAGATCCTGAAATGGCCCTAGTGTTCTGTGTGAACAATTTTTTGATTCTTGTATTTCTCTTACCTTTAACTACAGTGAAATGAAAAACCTGTTTTAGCATTCTTTCTCGTCTAATAATTAAAATTTTCTTTAATACTTTTTTTGATAATTCATTTACTCATTTTCTGTTAAGAACTGAAACTAAAAGGGAATGTAATTGTAATCACATATATAAAGGAAAACATTTTGTGGCTTTCTACTACTCCCCTTTCTGTTTCACTGGTAACATTTGTAATGAAATACTCTCAGTTGCTAGAAAACAAAAGCCATGGCAATTTCACCCAGTTCTGGTGTATGTCAGCTGTTACCATCAGATAACATTTTCACAGCAGATTTCTTTCTTTTCATGCTTCTGTTGTGCTTTTTTATTTGCCTTATAAATATATATTCCACAGTTCTGTTCTCCAAAAGTTTAATACATCAATTTGAAATCTTACATGTTACAGTGTACTTAGGAGAAAATTCACACACAGCTAAAATTCAGAAATACCCTTTCACATCCAGCCTGCTTATCATGTACTAGAAAAAAATACAGTGCTGTTCCTTCCTAGCCACAGAAATATTCTGTCTTCAGTGACTGTCTAGCAAATTGAAGTAGCAAAGAGTTGTTTCAAGACACCAATCCAAAACACTGACCTGCGGCAAAAAGGCATAGCTTCATTAACAGTTAGTAATTTAGAGGTGCTACAAAATTTGAAAGACTGTCAAAATAGCTACTTGCTATACCCTATTTTCCCATAATTCACCAACAGAAAAAAAAATTGTGGATGTACATACAAAGTGGTTTGGTGCTTCTCTCATACCCTTCAAAAGTTCAGAAAGCAATGATAATGTTTCACAGACCACATTCATATACTATGCATTGCTCTTTAGAGCAATACAAACCCCTTAAAGCTAAGCAGTTAAACCGTGGTTAAGTCTCCCAAACCTGGCACAGTATAAAAAGAAGAAACATCATATTCTGTGCTATTACAGAAGTATGAGAAGACTATATTTAAAATAGACATCCTACAAGCAGAGGAAGGCTGGGTATAACCCACCCAAGGTACACTGGGACTTCTCTAAACATTAGTTTCAGTCACACAAATTTGCTCAGAAAAACTTGCTCAATACTGGCTTTGGGGGGGCGAATCTAAATACATACAAAAATTAAGGCTTTCTTGTTGATTAGCACTGTGCTCACCCAATGTTGTTATCTTTGTTTCAGGATCCTTTCCCTCAGAGGACTTCCCTTCCCATATGACACTTCATTCAATTTTTCTTTTAATCAGTACTGTAATTGCCTGCACTGACTAGCATAGGTTGATTTTATCCCAAGCCAAAACCTGCCTTTACATTTTTAAGAAAAAACTGTGGGAAAAAAAATCCCACTGTGCAAATTGCTATTTATGTGAATTATGAAAAGAGTAGATTATGAATATATTAGAAGCCCTTAAAGAGTGCAAAGTTCATTACTTTAGAGACCATAAATATTTAACCCTATGTATTCATATATTAACAGCAAAAATAACGTTTCCTCACATCTCCATAAAAACCTAAATTAAAAGAAACAATCAACACAAACTGAATTCAAACAGCATTTACCTAAAATTTTCATTGGCAGCCTCAACTATCACAAGAACAGCTAACAGATGAAACTCCTTGCATAGCCCAGTGATCCATATTCATAAAACAAAACACCTGCCTAAAGAAATAAGTCTAGCCTCTCTTATAAGCCCCTCTCTCAGATATTTAACAATACACAAAAGACCTTATTGCTATACCTAAAATTTGGCAAAAATGTGAATTTATTCTAAAAACAGAAACATAGAATATGTTAGGCGAAACACAAGTTGAAAGCCTTACTTGAATGCCATTTGAACCAAGTGTGCCAAAACATCTTGTGCATCCACAGTAATTCGACTAAGGTCTCGGTCTTGCTTTATGAAATTCAGTAATTCAGATGCATTTGCCATCCAAAAGGCAAGTGCCCCAGCAATATTCTTCTGTTTCTGTAAGTAGAAAGAAGCAAGAAATAATACACAGAAATAGTTTTCTGATAAAGCACGGCAGCTTAAAAAGGCTCCAAAAGATAGACCAGTACCTTTACCCACTTCACCAAACAAATCTCAGATACCAGATATTTGCAAAATGTAATATTGCAATTGCTGTAACTGATGAAGTTCAATTTTAACACGTTCACTGAACGCACGAAATTCTGTTAAATTGCCAATAGCCATATCAATAAAGCCACGGCATAAGCATCGTTACACAGCGCTAAGAGCTTAGCGGAATGCAGTATCTGGTAATCTGTGCGCTTTTAAGCGCATATTCACTACTGCCCATTGCCACCCTGATACTGCACTCACTGGCTTTGATACCAGGTGATTCAGTATCAAGTACTGATCTATCTCACCATCTCCCGACCACAAATGCCAGGCCAGGCAACCTCAGATGAAATCCAAAGAATAGGAACCACAAACAACAAAAAAAGAAAATAAAGGGAAGAAAAAGAACTTTGGTCATTTCATATCCACATTGAAGTGCGTTAAGCAGAAATTATGGAATGCCGTAAAAGTTGCAAAGTCAAAAAAGGATTTTAGTACTGCATGTTCCAGTTGCTGAATGAGTGTTATGAACCGTTCAAGTCCAGCTGTTTGAGTACTGTATTTTGATATGGAAGCAGCATGAGAAACTGAGCTAAGCCAACATAGCTAGGATCAGTTCCCAGCAATATATCCTACCTGATCAACCTGGTCTACCTCCTGGAGAAAAACGGACGAAGGAAATCAAACAGAATAGAAGAAAGAAACTTGTGAACAATCATGATAGCTTTAGAAATCAAACACTAAATATGAAGGTACAACACTTAGGTTCACAGTTATACACAGATGCATTAATCAGTAGCTAAGATGCAACTGAGCCCCTTTTTAAAAATTAATTCTTTCAACAGGACTAGTAGCACAACAGCTAAGAACTGAAGTGCCCTCAGGTCACAATTAATTCAAGGAATGCCCTATGCTAGTTGACATCCCAGACTAGTTTGTTATTCCACGCTCAGTGCACCACAGAAAATCCTCAGAACTTTTCGCAGGCAGTGGGGTAACTAGCCATCCAAGTAACAGATCCAGGGAGCCATTTGCCCACACTGCTGCAATGAAGACTATGTACAAACACACACAAAGGGGGACAGAAAATCCCCACCAGAAAACAAACAAACAAAACCAAACCAAAAATATAAAACACCTAGGACAGATATTATACATGGCTTTTCAATTAAAGAACAAAAAGACTGGTTTAAACAACAAAAGAGAGTCAAATGAAATACCACACTAAGCTGCTTAAATACTGGCACATAAAAGCTACAGTGAATTAAGCAAACAAAAAACCCCCCGCCAGATATGTTTGTCTGATTACTCAAAACTGAGCTCTTAATTCTTTTTGTCTTTCTATTCAGATCACTCTCCCCCACCTGCAATACAGTGAGCTTAGATGCAAAAAACTGAGGTGTCATTTGCTGTTACTATTATAGTATTAGTTAGAGCTCAAAAAACCAAATTGCCACTTCTTTTTTGTTTCTTCACCCTTTCCAACCAAGGTACTTGGAAAAAAATGAAAATGTGTTGGCACAGAATGAGAGGAGCTGCTCCTTCTACAAATGTTAAAATTTGCAGAGGATTAGAAATGCCACAGAATGATTTGGGGGGGGGGGGGAATCAGGATGTAAAAATTTGGCTTTTTTATATGCATTAAGTTTCTATTCCTAGATTTTTATTGAAAGCACCGAGCCACCACACAGATCTCTCCAATTTTACCCCCATCTCTCATACAAAGTCTTCTATAATATTTGCACTACAGAAGGTCAGAGACTTAATTTGTTCGCAAGTACTTCTTGAGTAACTTCGGAAAGCTATCAAGTCTCCTTACGATCTAGGCAAGCAAAATTAGGATCTAAACAATTTATTTTACTCCCACAGTACAGCACAAGAGTTTGTGCACCTTCCCTCTACTTCTGTTTTGGGTGCCTCTCTCCCCTTGCCTCCCATCTGTCTTCTCCGTCTTTCACACCCTCAGATCCCTTCCAGTGCAGGCACATTTCACAGTCGTAAATACTGTGAGATACAGTGACTTATTACATGGTAGTTTAACTGCAACAGCCATCAATATAAACACTCATTCTACAGCTTAGGCGAATTAATTTGACTTAGCTTAGCTAGTACTGTTTATACTCCACTAAGACAGGTCCAAGCTAATGACATTTTCCTGGTCAAGCTATAGAATCCATGCATTTCGTTGTCTCCAGCCCATTAACCTTCAAATTCACTCAATTTCTACTCTTTTATCACTTGTGTAATTTTCCTCCTTTCCTCCAGTTTCTTCAGCATGACATTTCAAGAACCTCCTTCCCAATTTTCTTCAGCCTCCAACTCTCTTCAGTTTATTTCTTGCAACTAGGTAACATCTTTCACAAACCATAAATGCAGCTACTGCTTGCTTATTAATGTCTTCCTTAAATGTTAGGTTGGAGATTAGACTGCAACTACAGAGTTGCAAGGCTGCAGAAATGGCCCTTCACAAAGGACAGCCCAGACGAACACTTGTTTTTAACAGTTTTGTAATATTATTAGCAGGATTATATAAAATACACTTGCTTCCAACAACCACCAGGCTGGACTTGATTTCAGAAGCCCTTCTCACTGCTGTGAGTGAGTATTTTCACAGGATAATCTATTTTCTAGCTTTGATTTGTTTCCAAATCAAAGTGACATATGAGCCCACCTCTCTAGTATCTTCTAGCAGCTACATGGTTATCCAACTTAATTCAACACAAAGAATGCAAAACTTCATCTTTGTTTTCCCACCATACCTGTCACCCCACGTCTTTTTGGGGTCATTGTTACTAGTTTACATTAGTTATATAAAACAGAGTTACTTTCTTTGATTCAGCCCTGTAACTTCCAGATTGTATATGAAGCCTACCCTTTCACTGTTTACTTCACATTCTCCCAACTAAACTGCTTACGTTCGGGCTCCTTGCATTTTATGTTCTCCACTACTGTCACAGTCTCCCCTCTGACTTCAACAAATTCACTCTTCCACAGCCAGATCTTTTTCTTTTAATAGCAGAACCCAAATATTTAACTTCTGATACCATTTCACTTTTATGAAATATCAATTTACCACGGCACCAAGACTCAAAGCAATGTACTAGTTCTTCACTTGGGATTCAAATCACCTTTCAACCTCTCATCAGCTTCAGAATGTACTTGAAAGGCTACTCTTCGTTTTCTTACTGCAAAGTGTCTTCAACACTCACATTTTCTCCCATTTTTTCTTCTGAAAGATGGGAGCCTGCTGTAAGTGTTTACAGAGCTGTCTAATTATAACATTTTCCCTACTGAAAACTCCACTAAATCTTTCCAAAACCTAAACAAAAGCTGAACAGTTTTGGTTTGTTGTGACTTTCATGCCACTCTCTTGTTGTTTACTTTCTTCTTCTCCCTTAATCAACCTATTCTATATACTTGCATCGTTAATTTTCTAAAGCAGGACTGATGTCTTTGTTATGCCTGTACAGTGCCTAGCACAGCAGGGTCCTTGCTCTATATGGGCTACTATGGAAGTACTTTTTGCAGCAAACGTGTATGTTTTAATATGGAAATATATTTCAATTTTTCCTCTGAGAAAAACCTGCAAAGAAGTTACAGTAATGAATTAGTTAGTGAGGATACCTGAACTAGCACTCCCTTTTCAAGAAATGACCATTACATTTTATCAACAGTTACACAACACAAGCTACTGTCTAATTTCACAGACAACCCAGTGAATTATCCTGCATTCCTACACAAAACTGAATTCCCCTTGGACTTCTGTAGAAGTCTTGCATATGTAATAGCAATAGCATCAGACTACATATAAGATGCTGGAACATTTGGGAACTTGTATTTCTCTTTATAAAACAATTGTGTCATCTTGGTTCAAAAAGTCCAGTTTTATTACCACTTTTGTGGTTACAGAAGTTGTAAAAGTAACAGGATCAAAATTTAAAAGTCATGTTTCTTTTTAATATGTTCACGTCAAGCATCAATCAGTGCAAACAACTGCTATCTACATGATATTCTTTAACAAGCACATCCAACTTGATTTACAGGAGCTCACAGCCAGAAATGCTTGCAAAGTTCTTACCTTTTAGAGAATAGAAGAGTAACTTCTTGTCAGAGAACGTATCTTTCTTCAGAGCAACAGCCCCTCCCTAACCTCCCACATTGCTCAGGAGAGTTTCTTACCACTCACATTATTCATTGACACAAAAGCAAACCTTCGTATGGGCAATCAATGCAGGTATTAGTCTGACCCTTAACAATAGTTGGTTAATACTAAGAAAAAGCCTAAGGAGGTTACTAGGTAATCTACAAGATGTGTTTAATTGCCTTGACATGTTTTTGCAGAGAAACTCACCTGTATAACTCCTTCCATCATGTTCACCATCTTGTTGACTATTGCAATGACTTTGTGAGTACGCTCAGTAGGAGTGATGTCAGGTCTGTACTGGCTTGACAATACATACCGACATGTCATATACAAAACATATGTAGGTGACAGCTTAAAATGAACTGTTGAGCTATTTGTGTAATTTATAATGGCAGATAAGAAGGCATCTTCAGCTGTAGAGAAAGAGGAAAAAAACGTCATAAAGCCAAAGACAGAAAGAAAATAAAATTAAATATAAGAATTTCATAACTTGGGGCATAGAGGATTTCTTTTTGGAAGAGGAGGTGGGGAGGGGAGAGCAACTTACAGGAATTTGAATTCTAAATCGTTTATTATGTTCTGCAGTTACTTAGGTACAATAACAACACACTTCTATACAAAGCTAGTAAATGTGATCATCAGGAAACATCTCTGCACTATTTCCTATCTCTTTGCTGAAAATTTGCATCTTCAAGGGAACAGGAAAATACAAGTTTTCTCTGTCCCATTCTATTCCTACAGAGCTCCCTTATTACAGGGAACTTTAGACTAATAAAAATCTGTCTTTGCTTGCTCATGAATCTACTTAATTTGAAATATTTGAAGTCTGGACAATCTCTGGTATGATATTTTTCTACTAGATCTGAGACCTTAAAAACCTGGGAACCAAGATGACAAAAAATTAAATTCTAAATGAAAATTTAAACCTAATCAGATTTTATATAAAAAGGATTTTGACCAAGATGCAATACTATTATCCAAGGCATTGAGAACTATAGAAGAGAATGAGTTCAATGTACTGTGCAGGAGGTGGGATTAACAATTTTTTCACAGTTAAGTTGGAATATCTGAAGATAAAGAGTTGAAATGCAATTAGAATTGGATATGCATGAACCTGCCTCAATACCCAAAGTGCCTGTTTACCCTTCTCAACAAAATAAATTATATTACTGGATTAGCTCTCATCTAGCTCATGAGTCATTAGTCTTTTCAGTGTTTACTTAAGTTATCCTTACATTTTCAAACTGACTGAAATACTACACTATAGAAAAAACGTCAGCAGGTTAGTGTTATAACGTCACAATTTACTCACAGCTTTCCCTGAATTCAATACTGGCAGGTAGTATCAGTTCTGGTCCATGAGTATCCTGAGATCTAAAGAAAGACGACAAAAACTTAAACAATCCACATGGGTGATACCAATTCCACTGTATAATGACAGATTCCTCCAAATACACTGGTTCCAAATACTGACACAACATCCTTCCCCAAAATTACCCTTTTTTTAACCTTTCCTCTGGAATCATTCAAGGTGTATTTGCCCCCAACACAACAGATCAAAATACAAACTTGAACTGTGGAGTCTGTGATGTTAATGAACATCCTCTTCTGCGCTGTATGGCAGACTGAGAGCATCAGTTTGCCATCTGCCACTGACAGGATTCAAATAACAAATTATTCATGGACACATGAAAGTGAATGAAGCTTCACCTGAAACATGAGCTTGGTTACAACAAATATACTTTGCTATCTTTGATGCCCTCAAACTGATGAGAACTTGGTCAACTTATTTGTCCTTTCTTCTGGTAAGAAGGAAAAGGAGGCAGAATCTAGCCCCTACCCTCACCTGGCTGTTGCTATGCTATGTTAAGAAATAGCAGTCACTCCATAAGCCCCAGAACTATGTCCTCATTTAAACTGACTGCAGTGCTCTTTCTTATCTGTATCCATCAGAGAATTCACAGGGGAGAAGAATGTACAGAAGGTTGATTTTTCTGGTGTCTACAAAAGGTTAAGCAAATATTTCATTCCTCTGTTAAGCAAAAGCATTAATTGAGCTGTTCTCTGTAGTTAGGCACCTATTTTTAGGAAATATGTAAAAGCTTACCATCTTCTACATGCAATAGCCATTTTTAACCACATGTAACACAATAAGTCGATTTCTACCTCCCCCAGCAACTTTGATAAAGAAAGGAATGTAATACAATTACGCAAGCCATGTTCCCCTGAGAAATTTCAGTTAGGCACCAAGCAGAGATAGGACACTGAAGGCCTTTATTCAGCTATCTCCTGCAGTAAAAATTCACAAGATAATTTTGAAGGCTGATGTCAAGAGATCTAAAATTAAATTTTAGCATATTCAATCAAAAAACTAAGGGTACCTTTGGGTTTTAGTGGTCGTCTTTTTGTTTTTTAAACTTGCAAAAACTTAAACCAACAGAGAACTCAGTTATGCCATATCTAGATAATGCTTTATTATAAAAAGGGCCCAGCAAAATGAAGTTCTGGGGAGGTGAAAGTTAAAGAACAGCAGGCACAGCAGGGCACTACGTGCACAAATTTCTGCCAGTTCAGTTACATTTCGAACATGACATCACGCTTTCCTTATGAAGAGCACTCAGTGTGTAAATTGTAGCATTTCCTCTGAAAGTCTAGTCAGGGTATATCTAGCACGGTCGTAAAATATTGACCAGGGGTTGGTTGCCTCCTCTCCAAGTATAGTGTCAGGTAATATTATACTTTCAAACTGCATTAAAAACAGTAATACGTTCTGCATCGATTTGTGTGCTCTCCTAGATTAATTGCCTATGATAAACTGCATGAAAAATATATCCCTTGCTCTTGTGTGGTTGTTTTAGCCAGCATTCTAGCTACATACAAATTTTGTAAGGCACGTTAATGTTAGGAATCAGGTAAGCATCTGCATTCCATTAACACCACTTATATATCACTATTTTCATTTCCAAACAAACACATTTTTAAGAACTCCTGAAGCGTATCCAAAGCAAAGAATTACTTTTTTTTTCTTTTTTATTATATACTTGCTCATGCTAATTGAAGTCAGTTATCTAATGAGTACGTATGACCATAATCTTTAGCTAAATAGTCATCATCTTTTATTTCACAGAATCACATTTCAGAACAACCATACCCAATAAGTAAATTGGAGTTACGCTCTCAGATTTCAATTATTTTTTTCCTAGAGACTAGAGATGAAAAAGAAGGCAGTGAAGTTCTAATCTTTTGTCTTCAACCCACTCAGTGAGTGATTAGAAGAAAGTCTTATTTGCCTTATTATTCACCTCTGAACAGTGATGAAGACACACAAAAAGAATGGACAAGAACACTTAGTAGAGGCAGACCAGTTGTACAGTAACAAGAACCTGGAACTGCTCAATGAAGATTTCTTGGTTTTTCAAACCAACATAGCAGTTACTTCACTCCACGATTACTGTCCTCAAAGTTCACAAAACGAGACCAGAGTTTCCCAGAGGAAGCCTAACTAAAGATTCACAAAATACATCCACAAAGGGGAAGAATTCAGTTTACTTGAGTAACTTATTGCCTGGCAGTTCCTAATTTGACAGCCTGACTTTGCTAATTTGTTAATCTCAACACAGTGAACATACCTGAGAAAGAGCATGTGACAGAAACGCTGTATTTAGATAAATAACTCTCAATGTAATTACACAACATATACTATCACACATATATACACAGAAATAAAATAGCATTGTCAACGCCGGTAATAAAAAAAAGAGATCTCTGTGGTTGTAGCTATCACAAATCCAAGTGTAATTTGGATCCCTCTCTAAAAACATCTTCTGCAGACCAATACCAAGGTGAAAAAACCCTGTGTATACTAACAGTAAGACTAGTATGCATATTGTCTTCAGAAATAATTTTAAAAGTGTAAAAATCCAAAATAAAGCCAAGATGCAGCTCACAGATGGCTCTATTTTTGAAATATACAACTATAGCACAAAATAATCCTCTTTATAACAAGTGCGCTTGCTGAAAGGCAGAAATACAGAAAGTTAATAATCTTCATACACATACAAATGCGTAGCTAGAGCTCAAGAAATATTAACAGTAGAAGCCTCAAGAACTTCTGACAGGCAAGAAGTTCACAAAGAATTTCTGTTGATCTTTTATGAGAGAGGAAAATTACAGTTAAAACACCGGTAATTAAACAAGGAGTTAAATCTTCGGCAACCTTAATAAAAACTGTTCTGAAAGACACTCAAGATGCGCAGACACTCTAACAAGACAGTGCAGAGTAGAACAGAGTTGTATTCTCCTGTAACTTCTGAAAGCATTTAAGATGCCCCTGCTACACAACACTAGAACATCAGGAATTCAGTTCAGATGGAAGCACAATTTCCTGCCCTTTTTTTTCTTTTTTCTTTCACTCATCTCTGAACTCTGTTCTCTGTCTAGTGAATAATAAATCCACCTAAAGGTACTAGAAGCTTCATGCTAAAACCTTTACAACTTGAAGCACTGCACTTTTCAACCCTGCAGCACATTTACCGTATCTTTCATCCACTTATCATAGCAGTTCATCTAAATTTAAAAGCTGATTTATGTAGAGAGCAATGCAGTCTTATATTTTTTCTTAAGGTTTGAAAAAAATTCCTTTCAGAGTCACAGAATTGCTGAGGTGTGAAGGGACCTCTGGACATCATCTGGTCCAACTTCCCTGCTCAAAACAGGGGCAACCAGACAAGTTGCTCACAACATTGTCCAGTCAGGTTTTGAGTATCTTCATGGATGGAGACTCCACATCTTCTCTGGGCAATCTGTTCCAGTGTTAAATCACTCTCACAGTAAAGAAGTTCCTCCCATTGGGTATTTACACAATTGTTAAGATCTGCCCTGTGCCTTCTCTTATGAAGGCTATGTAGTTCCAACTGTAGGTACCCAGTCATTCTTTTCACAAATATGTTCTTTTTATCAGAACTGACCAAGACATTGGCATCCAGAGAAAAAACAATCACACAGAAGCCTGAATTGAAAGGGACCTCTAGAGATTATGTGCTCCAGCCTTCTGTTGAAAGCAGGACTTTATCCAGGGTTGTCCAGAGTCTTGTCAAGCAGAATCTTGAAATTTTTTTCCAGTGAGGGAGATTCTACCAGTTGTCTAGGCAACATATCCCAATGTTCACTTGGTCTCACAGTGAAGATACCTCCACCCTGCTCCCTACAGCCAGCCAATTTTCCCCTGAAGCAACTTCTGCTCATTGCCTCTTCACCAGTCAACCAGCATCCTTGTGATGACAGCATGCCCATCAGACTGTGATTACATCCACCCTAAGCCACCTTCTCTCTAGACTGAGAAAATGCAACCCCTTCAACCTTTCTTCATACATCAAGATTTTTATCTTCTAATCATCCTGGTGGCAATGTCTCTTCATAGGACTACTGCCAGTTTTTCAATCTCTCTCTTTAATCGGGAGCACCAAAACTGAACACAGTATTCCAGATGCGGCCTAACAAGAGCCAAGTAAAGTGGGATAATGACATCCCTTGATCTACTGGCTGTGTTCGTGCTGATGCAGCACTCATAGTCTGCCTTCACTGCTGCAAGGATATATTGCTGACAAGTTTAGCTTGCTGTACACCAGGACCCCAGGTTCTTTTTAGCTCTGCTGCTACAATCCAAATGTCAGACTTCAGCCTACATTGCTCTTGGCATTTTCTGTCTCATGCTCAGGACTTCACATTTACTGTTGCTGAACTTCACGCAATTCTTGCTGCATGTCTCTCTGAACAGTGATGCTTCTTTTGTGGCTTATCTGCTGTCCTCCAGGTTAGGTATTACCCACAAACTTGGTGACAATACATCAATTCTGTCACCTAGATTGTTTATACAGTTACTGAGTAGGATCAGATCCAATTTTAATTTTGAGAATCTCAACTCATGACCATCTGCCAAGTTCAAATTTGAGCCATTAACTGCCACCCTTTCAGCCTGGCAGTTTAGCTCATTTTCCACCACCCATCTTGTGGCCCACTGATCCAGACCACATATTATCAACAAGGATGTTCTGGGAGATTGTGACTATGCCTTGTTAGAATCAAGTAGATGATATGACACCTAGAGCCCTCCCCTCATTAACTATGCAAGTTGTTTCATCATGGAAGCCAGTCAGGTTGGTCAAGCATGACTTATCCTTAGTAAATCCATGCTGTCTTTTCTTAACCACTTTCTTATCCTTTGTGTGCCTTGAAATAGCTTCTACAAGGACTTGTTCTACAATTTTCCCAGGGCCTGAATTAATGCTAACTGGTCTGTATTTTCTGGATCTTCCACCTTGTCTTTTCTGTGGATGACTGCAGTATTTGCCCTTTTCCAGTCATTCAGTACCTCTGATTTCCATGACTCTTCAAAGACGAAACAGTGGCTTTGCAAGGATGTCAGCCAACTCCCAACATCTTTGCATATGTCCCATCATGTATTCTCTATTTATGATGACAAATAGAGACAATTTTTGAAACAATGCTAATATTAGAAGACATTGCCTAACAAGGAGTTGAGTCCTTTTGGATGGGCACAAACTGAATTTTAACAAGGTATTATGAATACATGGAGACTGAATAGCAAGAAAATGGCATACAATTTGAAGCCAGTGTTTTCCACTGTGGCTTTGGAAACAAATTGCATGTACAGGGCATCAAAAGTGTCATTCTGTACCTGAAGAAAGGGCCTATGAACAAAATGGGATAGCATTTATCTACCTAGTAACAGCCACTATACCATAAAAGCAAAAATCAAGAAGGAGGTGTTATATGTATTTATAAATTACATAACCTTACAAGACAAGCATTCAGAGGTAGCTAAAATTCTTGCCCACAAGACTTGCCAACAACGCTACTGTAGAAATAGGAATGACTTGGTTATTTCCCTCTCCAGAGTAAATTACATGTTCCTGCCAATGACAAATGAAAGTTTCAAATAATTGTACTTCTGTTATTGGCATTTCACAAGACAGGCCTAACCACAAATCACTAATGGTGTGACACAACTATCAACTTGACTTTACAAAAAGAGAACTACAAATAACAGAACATTGAAGCAAAGGATTTTATTTTTTTTTTTTAAATGATTCTGAACGTTTTTGCTTTGGTTGTTAAACCTGGGTTTTATTTGGAGCAAGATCTCAAAGGAAATCTCATTTTCCATAGGAAAAATTCAGGTAGTTTAAGATACTTTAACACACTGCTTGATCTATCAGAAAAATGTATCTGGTGTTTTCCATTGTAAGTACTAAAGGATTACACATTTCCTACCTGCTTTCTTGCCTGCGGTAATCTTGCTGCTGTTCTATTCTAATCATCGGCTTCACCATTCCTCGTTCGGCTGTACTGGATGCTGATGATGTCCTGTCACCGTCAAGTCTGCTGGTGCTCTGATTCAAAACAAGTGGGACAGGTGCTTAGCATACAAACATTGGATTAGCCAGTATTTGTGCTTGGCACTATTAAAATGAAGTGTCAATCTGAGGCTTGAAAAGAGATGGGAAAACAGAAGAGAAGAGTACAGCACAGAAGCCAGCAGCTCAGCAGGTGTTTTCACCACAATGAAGCATCAAAGAGCACGCTTGCAATTCAGAAGACAACAATGACCAGCTAGGAGCAGCTATTTGTTAATGCACTGCAAGAACATATAATGAAAATTTCAAACATCTGTATTTAAAAGTTGCATAGTTACCAATACAAAGTGAGAATGAATTGTTAATGAAAACTTAAGCTAAGAAACAAAGTTAAACATATTAACAGATTTAAACCTGGCTGTGCTCCCCTACCCTGCTTCTGCAATAGCTCCAAGTGCTTTATTATTGTTCCATGCATTATTGACCCATGCCATAATTTATCCTGTTCTTAAGGAAAGTCTGACCTGCTAGATAGCACATAGTTTTCTAAGACATGAAGTGGCAATTCAAACTATGCAATTTTTAATGTACAATTTTGTTTTCTTTCAGTGTCACAAGTTCTTTAATAGGAAGCTTTTAATTTATTATTTCAAATTACATCAAAACCTATCAGGAAGGGGAAAAACATGCTGCTGCAAGCAGCAAACAGTACACACAGTTGAAAACAAAACATCAGTAAAATATGAAGTGTTTTCATATTTCCTAAATATTTCTAGGACTAAATAATTTGCTTTGACACAAGCAAAGCTACCAAAAAGTACATCTCAAACAAAATAGGTTTTTTGGTACTGACACACCATTCCACAAATCACTTATCATCACAAGGTCTCAGAGAGCTTCCATTAAAGTTACTGTTACCCCTTTTCCAAATAGAAAAGCAAATTCATAAGAGCAAGTACTAGAAAACAAGTGACTCAGCAGTGATTTAACAAGGTGGCATACACCTTCTCGAACAGTACAACTCAAAAAAAAACCCCTAAATTTTCCCAAGCTTCCCTAGGTCCACTAGAAGTATTTTTCTAGTGAGTCTGAAAAGAATACGAAGTACACTGTATAATGTCAGAAACTCCAGTTCTGAGCAATTTTGAGGCTTTTTAATAATTTACAATGTCTTTTTTTCCCTCCCTTCCAAAATGTCATTAAATAAATGCCTATAAGAGGTAAAAAATGCATCCAAGAGAAAAGAAAGGATTATCACAAACAAATCTACAAAGAAAGGAGAAAAACTTAATCAGAAGTCTGTGGCAAGAAAAAAAAAATTAAGACTAACAAATATATTCAAAAGCTATCAGACTATTATTAATACCTACACTACCACACCAGTATCACTAAATTTCTTTACAAGTATTTCAATCTGATAATAGTGGTAATAAAACATAAAAGGAAATGCATTTCTGGGAGGACTACTACATTTCAGACTGCTGAAATAATTCATTCTCTCATTTCATCTGAGGCATGTGGTCATAGCACGAAGAAAGGCATTAACTATTGTGTCATTTTACTCTGTTTGCTCTTGGAACACACAACTCTGGCACAAAGTTATTAACAGAAAGACAGTGCAGAAAGAAAGCAAGAGAAGATTATCACCCCATAAAATGTTTATGACTGCAGAGACAGTTTGTTTAGTCAATGTGTGTACAGGAGCTCTACTAAAGTCAAAAGACACAGCCATTAAATTTTAAAAGCCTAGTTAATTTAAAATTGAACACCCTTTCACATTTTATATAAAACATTTATTTACCCTACCGCAGATGACAATAGTCATATGCTGCATACATGAGATAATGACATATAATTTCTAGTAGGAATCTCTCCTGCATGTAATCTGCCTTCAATAGGTTGGTTTGGAAAGAGACTACTCCAGGCTTGAGGAATTCTCCTTTCTAAACAAAGTTACTATTCTTTGCACAGAATGCATGCCAAACGTTAATACAAGCTTAAAAAGAACAGTTTTGGGGGGGAGGAGGAGGGGAATGCACATGATACCCAAGCTGACCCACATCAGGAAACAGCTGGGGACAATGACGAACTGGCTGCATTTTACCAAATACCTCTGATGTTATAATTTTGACCTAATTTACACATGATCTTTTATTATTTCTTGCTAACTTAGTCATAATACAATACCTTGCTTGCTGGTAATGCTGTTCCACTGTGAACATCTCCCTCCAGATCAAATGTGGTTTCCTGAACAGCTCTAAAAGCAAGACAACATTTCAAGTACTTTTCAGAAATTATGTGGTTAAACATTTAACAAACAAGGAAGAGAGCAGCTAAAATCAGTAAATTAAAATTCAAGAGGTATACCATGAGTCCAGTTAATATTCATTTTTAAAACACTGTATCAATTCTTTATATAAAAAAGACAAATATTTATAATTTCCTTCAGAAAAACACATTCTTAATTACATTTTTTCCCAGTCAAGTGAGAATATACACATAAACATAAACAATACAAATATAAAAACACATAAACATGTTCAAGATATTGTATTCACTACAGCAGACTTGCTACAATTTTTTGCTCAGTTCTTCAGTTATAAATGTACAACAATCTCAATAACGTAAATAGTTAATAAATCATAGTAATGCATTTTATTATCTGCTTATTCTAAAGATTTAAAAACCATTTGATTGTTCAAGCTGCAATACCCCTTTGCCAGAGACTTTGCTATCCAGGTAAAGCTGTGCAGTAGCACAGTGCTTTGCAGTTGACTATGGAAACCCACGCAGAGCATTTATTTCTTGATCTGCAGGCTAGATAGATGTAGAACGAACTCAAGATTTAAGCAGAAATATTACGACAGCTAAATGGCTGGAGGTCTTCCTGCAGACAGGTCCTACAACAAGCACACAGTATACTTCCACATTAAAATAAAGTGGAGGAAAAATAATAATGGTTAAAGTATACATCTATATTAACTCAGCAGATTAGCCAGAAGAGCCTCCTCTCCTAGGTATCTTTCTCTCATTCATCTCCAAGCCAATGTTTCCTTTCTACACCACAGTATACTATAACCGCAGCCTCATTTGAACACAGACAAGGTGGAAGATGTGAAGTTGGTTTTTTCCATGCTATACAGTCTGATTTCAAGATAGTTTCTCCTGAGTATTTCTATAGGCACTGAACAGAAAACCTGAGCCCCTACAAGTCTAGTAGCGGTGTCCCTGCTCACTGCAGGGGGGTTGGACTAGATGACCTCTAGGGGTCCCTTCCAACTCAAAACATTCTATGATTCTAAGTCACTAAATCTATAGTCAGTATTTTTATTATGCACCTACCAAAAATACGAATATACAGAGGAAAAAACAGGATGGACTTCTGGACTGTTAGTCCTTGCAACAAAGAAAGCAGAAGATAAGTAATCACACTGTAAAAAGTGGTTGATATATTGAGATATTTAGTTCCCTATCTTTATAGTCTCATTTTGTAATTACCCTACTTAATTTCCAAATCCTTCTAGTGGAATTTTAGAATTTACTGTCTGAGAAAAAACAAAATGCAGGCTCTCTGAAAACATTCAGTGAATTCTTTACTTTTCCTGGAAGTTTGAAATACATTAAAAGAAGGCATTCCACTGTTTTTTACACAGAAGTGAGCATCAGGAAAACTTGTCTGCATAATGAAAAAGACGCTTGCTAATCCTAAAAAAAATCACAAGGTGGAGCTCAAGTATTAAAATAGTTATTATATATTTAACACTTAAAAGCAGCTACTCAGAACTCATTTGAAGTCATATTCTAGCCTCCGGCCATTTACAACTATCTCATTCTCTATTTTTTCCAAGGCTCCCCCCTTCACACCCTCAGTGGAAAGAAAATAAACTTTACTCACCCAGTTTTGTGTCTTGGACCTTTGACCATAAGACTTGCATCAATAGGTCTTTTAGTGATAATGTGGTCCTGAGTGGGATCCACAAATTTAAATACATGAGATGACCCAAACTGAACCTTCATTCCACTTTGCAGCATAGTGGTTTCCGAAATACGCTGGCCTTCCACATAGGTTTCAGCATCAATGCTTCTCGGGGTTACAGTAACAACTCCATCCATATTAGTGAGGTCACAATGATGAGGCTGAATTCCTGGACCAAATAACTGGAAATAGAATTAATTAACATGGAATAAACTAAATTATAGAGAAGCAGAAATTAAAACAAAAAGATTGAGCTGCAGCTTACCCTATTTACAGACCAGTAACTTAGCTTTGCTTGCTTATGAATTTAACACAGATGAGTGGTACTAAAATTAGTTGAGTTTCACTTCAATTTTCCTTGCAACAGAGACAATAAAACACACATTTAACTAAAATGTTCGGCAGAAATCCCTTAATGAAAAGTTTTTCACTTTTTTGGTTACATGAGGTTTGAAGTGTTTTCTTCCACTTGCTGTTTTGACGCAAAATCTCACAGTGCAAGTATTTACAAGTCAACTAACTGCACTGACATGGACCCAGGGTGCTGTAAGAGACTCCCTGATGTGAACTTTATACAACTATGTTTGTTTTATACATTTAAGAAATCCTGCCTCACTCAAAGGGGTTGAGACTAGGACTGGAAAGCCATTAAGCAGTTACGATAACACTGATACATATCATTTGATCCAGTAACAAAAAAGAATATCCCACTTTAAATAATGAAGCCCCTGCTTTCCTCTTAAAGCAAGAGATGAAATAAAATAAATCAGAGTTATGACCATTAACATGAAACCGAAGCAGTATTTTATCCTTCTAGCTTTGAAGGGTATTCACAGAATATTTTACTAGTTTCTACAGTTACACATAACTGACCAGAAATTGGATCAGTTCTGTAATCCGAGTCTGGTTTTTTTCCATACCTGAATGGAATTGTCATCAAATTTTTCGGTTCCAACTTCAGTGACACTTAGTTGTAGACGATAGAGCTTTGGCTTATCTCTGGAGTCAGAACCATCTGCACAGCAAGTGACAAATATTAATTTGCAAGTTATTAAGGTTTAAATACTCACACAGTATTACTACATTATTGCTATTTAGTTCAGAGTAGCAGTGTTCACCAAAAAAAATAACTGAGTGACATTCTTTTAGTATTTGTTGGGAACTTAGTATTTCATCGTAGTGTAAAAACACTGGAAGTCAACAGAGCCCACTCAATAGCATGTCTTTCTCCTACAAGTGCAAAAACCAAAGTAACCAAGAACTACTATTCTGAACATACTTTGAAAACCTTTTTCTATTTCCTTAGTAGTTTAAGCAATGCAATTTCTTTTTTAATCTCTAAGATTTTATATGGGTATACCAATATGGGGTTAAAAATGTAGAAAATAAGATATCTGCAGATCTCTACAATAACAGTATTTACTGACCATACTAAAAGTACAGGTTATCAGCAATATCTACTGTCAGGTACCCCACATGCCAAACTGTTTCATATTTATCAGATACTGAAGTAGGGCAATATTAAAAGAGAATCTTACAAAATGTTTACTTAGTCTCAATATACAGGACTGTAGCACTTCCGGCCTTATCTTTATAGTCCTATTGACCTGTATTTTCATCTTGCAGAAAATGAGGCCAAAGATAAAGTTCGTCTTCCTTCTCGACCCAGAAAAACGTATTGTCCAAATAGAATAAAATTTCACAAGATACACTGGATGCACCACAGGATTTAGCTGCTGCCTTCACAGGCTAACACAGATGAGTTTCAGCATACATATAGATCCTCTCTGCTTCCCAGAAAATCCTGCAACTTTAAATATTCAGTCCTCTAAAGATTTTTCAGGTACAGGGATAAGCCTTTTATTAAATCCCAATATGTGAGTCTATAGAGACGTACATCTAATATCACTGTACACTAAAAAAGGTAATGCTAATACAGTATCCTCAGCAATTCAAATTGTGTGTCATTTTTAATACTTAACAATGCTAATCAGAAATTATATGGCTGCATCTTCAATGTCACCAAATGCAGACATGTAATACACTACTGAATACATTGGCTGCTTACCCCCAATTCTCTGAATTGTTATTATGTCTCCCCACAACTTACACATCAAAACCTAGAGTAGCTCCTTCGTTTACTTATTTATGAATCCAGAAGTCAAAACATTTCCTCCTCCTACCCACATCCCAGTTTGGTAAATCTGGCACCCAAAAGATACAAGATTCAGTCTGGAGGCAGCGACCTTATTCAAACATGCAAAAACACTGGAATTTCAAAAGTCAGTGGCACAGAAGTCAGGGCTAGTTATCTAGGGCTTTTGTTCTTTATTTCTTACAGCACTTTCTCCTAAGCTGTTTATATACAGATTAGAGAATAGGCTTTACAGTATAGCAATTTCAACCCTATACTAAATATACTTCCCCCCCCCCATACTTTTTCATTTTTGACATCTTAAATAGAACAAAAAAAAGCCTTTAAAATATTCCTACGTATTTCTGAAATATTTTGTAAAATATATGCTAAAATATTATGGTTTTCAAGTGTTTAAATAACTTCTGTATCTCATTCCTGAGTTCAGCACTTGTGAATAATCAATTAATACCAAGTTCCTGCTAACAAACATTTACCTCACACTGCCACATACTTCAATATAGATGCATGTCGTGTAAACCATGCTTTCACATAAGAAATGTATTTTAGTATCACAATGTTTCTGCTGAGGCAAATTAAGACTGTTTTGTTTCTCTGGAGTGTCCAATATAACAAGAAAAAACTTACTTTAAAACCACAGCACTACATACAACCACTTTCTTTTCTTCCCAGGAAAACGAGAAAAATTCAAGGAATTACTGGAAGATATTTGGAGCACACATGTAATCATGCACCAGTAAGAGCCAATTTCTACAGTAAAAAGTATCTTAATCTAGAAGATAATTACTACAAATTCTAAAAAGGAAGAAAGGCCGCCTTGTTCTAGTGGAGGGATGCAGGAGGGAAGGAAGGTTGCATTAAGCTACGGTGTAAAGACTTGTATTTCCTGTTTTTAACAGCTGGAAGCTCGCCTAAAAGTTGTTTGGAATGCATTCCTCAGAACTCAGTGCAGTGGGATACAGGTTCCGTCATACCTAGGGCAAAGTCCAGGCTCCCCAAACCGTGGCAGTCCAAGAAGGCTGTTCTTAGCCACTAAGGAACAAGCTTTAAAGACTTCTGATGGTTCAGAAAGGCGATACATGCATACAAGCTAAGTCATGCGACTTAAGGTCCAGAATGGGGGGGGAGGGGGGTGTGGAATAATGTATCTGGGGTTTTTATCTAACACAACAATAATTTTCTTTTAATTCATAAGTTCAAAAGGTCAAAGTTCTCAGAAAGATGGGCATTAATAAACAATACAGAAGGAGTAGCAAGAGGCGTAAGAAAAATGTATGAATTCTCTAAAAACTTGTTCATTTTATATGCGTGCATAAGTAAACACATGGCATGGAAGAAAGATGGCCTGTATTCTGTTTCTGGCACCCATGACTGAGTAACAGTAGCAGAGCTAAATAGGTGCAGAAAAGTCTAGGTTTTGGGGGGTTTTCAAGCTTAGAAAATTTATTTGGAATGTGCCTCCCAGATGTGCCTCCAAGCCACAAACTGAAGAAGCAAGAACTATTATTCAAAAGACCAAGTTAGCCACTACTGCATACATCAAACTTAATTATCTACCTGACAAAGTTTTTCCCAGTGACATCATAAGAGGGTTCAACTAAACTTGGCACGGTTTGCATTTGAAATAAGTTCACAAGTTATTTTCTCCCATGATATGTATACAGATACTGCCTATGACAGATTGCAAACTTGTATTTCAAGATGTAACCCTCAAGCAGACCTTATGCCCAGGCGGGAAACAGTAATTTCAAAAAAGGGTTTTTCAAAAACACTAAAGTATGTAAAAGTACAGTAACAAACACTACAAAACACACAGTGTAGAGTAAAAAGATGCACAATATTCAGTGAGTGATATAGATAGTGACTATTCGCCTACAGTCACTAGTGAAATTGTTTATGTGAAAACTGTGGCTTTGTATCACTTTCCGTGCTAAGGATGCAATACAAATAGATTTCACGACTGGGTTTATGCAGTTACAAGTCAACATTCACACTTCAAATAGCGGTGGTATAAAAAAAACCAAACTGTGTAGTGAACAGAAGCTAACAGTCATTGTAAGCACATCAACTCAGTGATTCATAATACAAATGTACATTTTTGATCTACAGAAAAAGACAAGACAGGCCTCCTTTCATAGATATATATTTTAAATGCATTACTTCACCACTAAAAGCTGAGCCCTACACCACTTTGGAGATGATAATTTCAATTGATTTCGCTAACCCAATGTTTGAAACAATGCTGGGCAAGAGGATCAATCTTAAACCAGACTAAACCAAATGATGAAGATCAGATCATGTAAGCCCAAAGCTGAACAAAAACATCCACACAAGGGACTACACCTATTGACTTAAAAGTTAGTTAAATCCACATTTGAAAAGCAGCAGACTTCTGGCACAAGTTCTTGAGTGCTAAGAGTTTAGACAGTAAGAAGTTTAAGAGATTGGTTAGGTAGATTTGAAATATCATGTCAAATTCAGGAGATACTTCTACTATTAAATTTCAGACAAGATGTGCGCTTCCAGCAGAAAGAGCCAATAATAAACATTTTTTGGTAAAGGAAGAATCAGTGAGGAATGTGACAGACAACAAAGCTCCTTCCAACTAACATGTAAAAGTGTTACCACATACCATACTGCAGTTCTGTTCTCAGAAAGGTTGGCCAGGAAACCGCCCTGGCCAAGGCTTTCAAGCTTCTCCAACCTCCTGTAATTAATTCTTCTTTCCAAGTTGTTATACCTGCATGTTCTCAGCATCTCCCATTGCTGTCAATTCTACAGCTCAGGTTTGCTTTTTTGTGGTAAGGCAGGGAGAAAAGCCGTAAGGTTTTGCCGTTTTTTGTTTGGTGAGTGTGGGTTTTTTGGTTTTTTGTTTTGGTTTGGTTTTTTTAAATGCTTTGTAATTTTTATTTCAGGCTTGCAGGATAAATCCCAGAGGCTCACATCCTATGAAGTGGCTTTTTGTAATTTTTCTCAGCTTTTAAATATTATGACTGAACAACTGAAGTTAGTAACATCCCTGAACTCCGCAGCAGCCGTTTTCACAGATAACATAGACAGCATCAGCTATTCAAAGTGCTGCCATAGCTCACTTCAGTCTACCCAGCCTGTTTCTATTACTATCAGATTCATCTCAGTTTATTGGTTCGTTTACATGATTTGGAAGACAGAGACAATTGCTGACTGCCACGTTTACAGCCATAAGCTACTGAAGTGCATCCTCTGCTGTACTGTGCAGAATCTGATCTTCAGTCTCTACACAGTCATACAACCAGCAACGCCAGCAGCTGGGATGTAGCGGAAAAACAGGACATGCTTCCAGTAGCAAACTTACTGTATTTGTGCAATTGCACAGGGCATGAAACAGAAGTCTGCCAGGTTCTTCTGCAAGAATATAAACAGCCAATGTTTTGACAGAAGGGCACTTCTACAGGAGTTATTTCTATAATAAATACAAGTATCCTGAAGTGCATTATTCCAAAGAGACAGACTGGACTCTCGAGTACTAAGACCTCTTTTTCACACTCTGAGATAAAGATTTAGGAAATTGTAATTTTTTTTTCCAGCGAGATGCAACCAAATTTCAAGCTTTCTACTACAATGGTCAGGTGTTCTTGCAGAGCTTGTCTATGCTTATTAGTTCAACACATGCTACAGAACTTCTCTGCTCTCTGGAATAATGATGTTAACGAAATGGAAGTCTGAATTCATCAAAGACTTGAGCACTGGAGGCATAAATTTGAACAGAGTTCATCAAACCCCAGCATTGTACTCCACAGCCGTGGAGTGGTGAGCAACACTGACAGACATATAGTACTTTTATAGCAGTCTAGAAAATAAAATGAGGAAACAGATGCTAAAAAACTAAGAAAACGAAAAGGTATTTTGGTAGATTTTTCATGATGAAGAAGAAAGTGGCTTTGTGTTCTTGTCTATTTGGCCAAACCAGGAGATATCTGCACGTTACTCCCATCTCTAAGAGGAATTAGATATCTGTAACAGATTGCAGGTTAGGTTATCAATATTAAATGCTACAGATAAAATTGGACAAGATGCTACTGTCTAATGTGGCTAGATCACTTTGACAAACACTGTTAATGTTAGACACCAAGCAGCGGAAATAGCAAAGGATGCTATGGAACACCACGGAGCAGGAAGTGAGGTCACTTTACCAGTGGTCCAAACACTATTTCACATAAAAATGATCACAGCTTTCATCCACTGCATCGATGCAGTCAAACATTGAAAAGAACAACTAAGTTCCATGTCATTTACCCAATTAACTTTTTAACTATGAATTCTGCAAGCAGACGGATCAAAGCATATTTTTCTTTCTACCACGACACTGCTTGTAAACCACCCTATGAAACTGAGTTGTTAACCTCAGCTGGAAGGTTGAGTTCTAAGGATGGTAGTACACTTCTGAGCTATTTGATGTTTGTTCACAGACAGAATAATTAAATGGCAGCTGATAAGACAGATAACTACTTCACAGAAGCAGTCCCTTGTTAAAAGGTGAGATAGGCAAGATAGCCTTTCATTTGTCAAAAGGAAACAAAAGATTTACAGCCAGCGATGTTTTTAGTGACTAATGAGAGAACAGTATTAAATATAGCGTTACCTTCGTAAGCGTGATAGTTGTAGTAGGCAAAGTGATTCCTTCTCCCTGGGGTTAGAAACACATGCAGAGGACCCAGGTGAAGGCAGCACCAGCAGGACAGATACCATGCAGAACATGCGGAAGAGGGCAGGAAAAGAAAAGACAGGAAAGGGTGAAACTGTAGCCAGACAAAACTTATTCAATTTGTAAGGATGAAGTGCATTAAACTCTTTCAACTTTAGAAACTGCATAGAATATAAAGACACCAGTACTACAAAGCTACTGAATGAAACAATCCTTATTGTTTAGAAAAGCGACAACAAGCTGTTAGAAGAAAACCATGAACAATAGGTCAGTCCCACAGGCAACGTGCAAAGGCTTAGCACACAGCGTTGCCACCTGTGGCATTTCAGATTGTTTTTCCTCTCTCCGTTAATGGATGTCTTGCTCCACTGCCCAAGCACAATGTTTTAATACTAAAGCAACTAGGCTCCACCAAGAGTAAGATCAAAGCACAAGAAAAGAAACCAGAAGTACTATTAAAAGAACCCAAGATAATAATATGCTAATCAAACCTCAGTATATAGAACACAATATAAAATACACTAAATATATTCTGTATACTGCTAATTTCACGTGGCTTTTTTTGGAGGGGGGAACCCCGCACTATTTGACTATGAATTTAACCCTTTGTTTGCAGTTCAAAGTTTTCAGTACCAATTTCCAGCCTTGCTTCCCAAAAGGTAAACAACCAGACTTCAAATTGTAAAATCCCTTGTTTGGATACCCCAGTGTACCCAAGCCACACTTAGTTGGAAAAAGAGCTGCAAATAACTAAATCACCAAAAATAAGAGTCCATATCCAAATCTTCGAACTTGAAGACAATAGAAATTAAGAGTAGAAGTTGTATGTGTTCTATCAGTTATTGTGCTATAAACAGTCAAGCTCCCCTGGCTGTTCTTAGATCATAAAATGAGTTGTAAATTACAATGCAGCCCGGAGAGTTGTAGTAATGCCAAAATAAAACCCAGCCTTGCTCGTGATTTGGAGGTTCAATATATGGCTGAAAAATGTTTAGCAAACTGATTTGATTTAAAATTTCGTGTTCTTGTCCTTCTAAAAATGTATTTTTCATGTATGGCACTGTCAAAATATATCTTACTAGGTATGCTATAGTATATTTCTGAATGTAAAACAAACCAGATTTTAGCAGTGCTTTTCTGGTGTGTCCCCCCCCCCTCAATCATAAGACGACATGTTAAACTATTTTACTTATTAGCAAGTTTTAAACCTCCAAATCCAAAGGAAATTGAAGATTGAATTTTTTTTTAGTTTCTGAAACACTTAAACCTTCATACTTTAAACCATGCTAATAGACACAAAGTCTTAGTCAATCATTTGTACCCTTTTTTTACTCCAAACATTTGCTACTAAAATTTCGATATTATACCAATATGCAGCTCTACCTCTAGATAGCTCCAATTCAGAATCTGACATCAGAACAACTGATGTGGCATTCACTTACACTGCCAACAGACTTTCTTGTGCTTCCAATTAAAGTCTTATTTTCAGAAAAACCTAAATGACTATGTAATACTGTATTTTAAGATTATTAGATAACCAGAATTCTTACCTGGGCTTAATTCTACCAGGTATGGTAGTTTCTCAGGAGGAAGGCAAGAGCCATAGCCAGACCCGTCAACTCTTTCCTTCCCCTTTAATGGCTTTCCATCAATTATTTTCTTGGATTTCTTTGGGACATAATCAGGAGGCCGCCTTTTCAACTGAAAGACCAGTATTCCTAAAACACAATATTGTACATCCTTTGAGTCTCACTATCAGTGAACAAGCACACATCCAGCATGTATTAATTTGTAAGTGTTCCACAAGATTACTTTCAGCTTACTAAGTTCCTGACCCTTCTTTATGTAGGTATTTTTAAGTTAAAACTATTTAAAAGATTCATAGCATATAATAGCATACTTCTCTACCGTGGATAATTTAGAAACTTTAGGATAAAATGTAAAACCCTTCTACAGTCTAAAGATTTATTACTATAAACAGTGCTGAATGAAAGAGTAAATAATTCTAAAAGCAACAACACCCAAGGCACAAAAATCTCTTAAAGGTTTTTAGACATACCTTTATCACTAGGCCACTCCCTGAATATCTGCAGTGGACACTCATCATCATCAAGAATAGTTTCTTTAGCACCTTTATCATCAGAGTGCTGAGCACCAGGAGGCAGCATGACCTAGAAAAGAACCATTATCCGTTGTCAGAGCTGTTAGCGGACAGTTAGAACAGAGGATTCAGGGGTATAACTTCTGACTTTTTTTTGTTTGTTTATAACAAGGGATAAAGCAAAAGAATTCAGTAACTTGAAATGCATTTTTCTTTTCAAGACTTTTTCTAACTCTCTCTCTCTCACCTCTTGTTACAGTTAAATCACAGTTCCCAGAACACCAGATACATTTAAAAAGCAAACGAAAGCAAGTTACACTTAAAGAAGACAAGACCATCTTCCAGCAAACAAAATTATTCCAATTTCTCAACAACCAAGGGGGAAAAAAAAAAATAAATATCTGTGCAGGTGATAGTTAAAAATCAAAACTGAAGTGTCCTTTTTTATCTCAAACACTGGCATCAGCCCTTTGTTTTGCTAATGCCATTCCACTAACACAACATGCAAGTACCTTTAGAAATGGCAAGACAAGCTGGCAAAGAGAATGCTGTGATACCTCCTGCATCCTTGGCTTACCCAACCTTTACTGGGTCTACACAGAGACTGAAGACATGACTGGAGCATTTCATGCAATTGCTTCGTGCTGCCTAGCTGTAAGGAAGAACCACAACGAAGTATACTTTGGGAACAGAACCACAGACTGTTCATACCTTTTACAGCTACATCTGCACGAGGTAGAGGAAGGGGGAAACCTTGATTCCTGAGTTCTGACTCTAAAGGAGAGACAGCCTGTGATTTCATGCACGTTTGCATTACTGCTCCCCACAGCAATTGAGCATAAAAACCAATGATAGGCAGTACCACAGTGAGTGAGTACCTTCTAGGTTAAAGATAGATCTTTCAAAGCTGAATAAAAAAAGTAAAATACATTTTACTCCCTCATTTGTGATCCTAACAAGGTTATTTAAATTCATAGAAAGGTCTATTTTATACAAACTACCCAAAATTATTCCCGTCTCTGAACCCTGACCCAGGTAACACCTTCGGAAGCAATGCAGCTAGGGGCTACTGTGCCCCGCTATGGTGCAGCCCTCAAGAGGCTTTCCACTCTTCTTTGTCACCTCCTCTCCACACCCATTTCAGCCTTAGCTAAGTTCTCACAGATCCACCTCAAACATCCTTTCATCTTCTTCCAAGGAGGAAACAAGTGCATTTAAGATCAAAAGTATGTAATTGAGTCATTGGCTTTTCCCTAAAACATTTTCTATGCAAAACCTGGCTAAACATAGGACTGATTAAATTATCTTTAATCAGATTTTCAAATATTCAAGATATTATAAACCAAGGAAAACATGAACATGCATAAACCAAAGGGAAACAGGAGCACAGCTACACTCAAATCTTATCTTGCCAAACCACTCTTTTCTACTTCACATTTCAGATTTTAAAATCAATTATACCTACGGGATAATTTTGGTTAGCTAATTAAAGTAACACGGTGTTTCAAGCCTTATTCAACAAGCAACAACTTTTAAAATTCCAAAGCCCTCAAGACAGAAGGTAACTAGGTACAACACAAGAACTACATGCTACAGCCTATGTACTGGGGGCTGACCAATACTGGACTGGGGAGCAACCAAAGAAAACCCAAGTGCAGTGAAGGCAGAAGACAGATGAGATATAAATACATAGCTGCTACTACTTGACCCTGGTATTACTTCTGCCTTGGAACCTGGATGAGCATCTGTACTTGGCGTCGGGCTTAACGGCAGCAATGGTAAACTAGGCCAGTTAGAGAAGGGGGGTCACAAAAGCACTAATCCCCTCCTCCTCCCAGCCAGTTACCCTTCCTCTTGTCTCTCAGGAAGCGTGAGTTTTTCTCACTGAAAAAAAAGCATGACCTAACCTGCGGAAAGACACAAACCACCACTTCTGAGCTTATGCAGGCCAGGAGGCTTCTAACCATGATGATGCCATTTTAGAACATCTCACTTTTAGGTGAGCACTGCCTCAGTGTCACCCACAAAGCTGAAATTCCTACATTTTAGAATTACAGAAAAACATAGGAAGACGTTTATATTATGACTGGGTTTTGGCTTATGGGTAGAGATTTGCTTTCATTTTGAAAATTACAAGATGCAGTTAAATATCCTTTCATGAATTTGAATCCATACAGACTGCTGAGATCAGGCACAGACATCTCCCTGATTTCTGCAACAGCGTAGGAAATGGAGATGGGTAAAACCAGCTTAAAATCACAAGTCTTGGAAGCAGGTTGTCAGCTGACAACCTACAAACTGAAATTAATTCATAACAGATAATTAGGAAGCATATACTCTGCTTCCTCATAATTGCATTCATGAGCATATACAAATTATCATAAAGTCACTCCAATCTATATTTATTCATTTGAAATGCAGTGAAACATGCAGAAATTACAAGCTGATAAATGTAAATGAGGTCCATAGCAACTTAGGACTTAAATTCCAAGGCATTTGCTGGGATAAACAAGTAAGAAAAGATAATGCTCAATACTTAAGCCCCCTGTGGTAAGTAATAGCTACAGATCAAGTTATCAGATCTATCCTTAGCAAAAGTTTCACACAAAAAAACCATGCAATAATAGGTCTTCAATATGTTCTTTTGTCATTTTAATGTTTTTTTTAAATAAAATCCTCATATCTACTATATGTTTTACTATATCTGCTTATTCAAATGAATTAAACCCTAATTTTCCTTACAAGTTGGGAATATAGGCTCTGCACGTGCCCCTGAAAAAAAAACAAAAACAAAAACAAAAACAATGGGACTTCCTAAAAAATATTTAATGCCTCATGTCTATAATGTTACTTCTTAAAAAAAAAAAACACACACAAAAAACAAAACCAGAAAAAAAAAAAAACCAGACCAAAAACCCCCCAAACCCACAAACAAAAACTACTCACCATGAACTGCATGTTTTTCCTTGACATTACAAGAAGTTATTTATGCCTTATCCTCGAGTAAAAAAAATACTCTTATATACATGCTAAAACAAAAGTCTAATCAAGAATCTACTTTTAAGAGTTAACTGGTTTGTTGCATGCCTAAAGTCTTATGCCCTAAGTGAATATGCAGAGGTAGCTTGGAATACTGTCTAATTAATTTGACATCTTGAGAGATGTGCAGTGAACCCCGTATTATTCAGGGAAACTCAAACTGAAAACAAACAAAACATATGTTGGAACAAACTTGCATTTACTTCATTACAGAGAAAAGCACTTTAGAAGTGGGCATAAAGGTACAGCCCAATACACTGCAAACCAGGGTTTGAAATCAAGCAACTACCAGGAAACTCCCATTTACAATAAGAGTTGTCAATGGTAAGTGTTAAGGGAAAAGAAAAAAAATAAAAATCTTACAATGTTCTTCTTTCAACTGAAACTTCAGAAGTGAGTGAACTTTATTACAGCTACTTATGCAGCCTTAAAAAGGTCTTGTCACAGAACTTTAAATGAATCTTAATAGTTAAGTAAATGTCTTCTCTGAAGACACTTCACCTGCCACCCAAATAGAACAAAACATTTAAAAATCCCAACCAATAAAAAACTGAAGTTATATGTTCCACTGTACACTGTTTTAAACCCAACAGAAAATAACGTATAACACATATGCAGGACAGATTTGCCCTCCATAGAACACTGTGAAATGTCAGAACAACAGGGGAAAAATCCCAACAAGGGTAAAGAACAGCTGTGAGACTTCAGTGTAAAGGAGTACCAATGGCCATGACACCTATTTAGCACTGTATTTGTGAGTTTCCAAAAAAGAAAACAGTAATTACAGGCACATCAAGCTAAAGGTACAGTATTTTATTAAAATATTTGGCCAAAAGGAGATTTTAGAGTTAGGTTAAAAAACCTCAACTTTATTAAAAAAGGCCAAGTAAATTTCAGCCAACTACAATGAATTATGGCGAACAAAACAGTAAGGTCTTCTACACTTAAATGTATTAAAAAAAGATCTGCTATGAATCAATAAAGACCACTCACGTATTTCAAATGTAAACATAAGCATACAACTTATGTCAGTATAGAAACTTACTATATCAAGATGTGTTGCTCAGAAAAGACAAAATATTTTCCAGAAGTGCTTTCCAGAAAACTAATTTAAATCAATTTGCTTCACAGCAAAGACTTCGCTAATCTTTCCCGAGATCAAAGCAACATTCCTCAGACTATTTTCTACACTAAACATCCCCACACAAGATCAGAGAACAAGGGGAAGTGAGAGAGAACACCACCACCACAACAGTGACTTGCAATAGTTTCCCTGGTAAGTGTTCAATCAGTTCAAGAAATTCCCCAAGATATAAACGTTTCATAATACATCATAATACTCTCTGACTCTGAACTAAACAGACTGATGCAAAACGATCTTCCACATTCAGTCACAATGTCTCTGCTGTAGCCCACAATTCTCTCAAACCAGCAGAAAAACGAGCGTGTCAAGTCAGCACCCTATTTCATAAGATCAATGACTGAGAATCACAAATTTCATTTATAGAACCCACAATATGAAGATAATTGTCATTTTTAAACTACGTGTAGAAAATACTTGGCAGACAAAACTGAGAATCAATTTTTATTATGCTGTGTCATAAAAAAACCCCAACCCTATTACTTACAAAATTATTCCCCTCTATAATAAAAACCTATGTAAAATTTTACTGAAGTAAAATTAACTTTCACAGTTGGGACCCCAATGCCAGGTTAATGAAGACAAGGACAAAATGCCCAGAACTTCATTAAAAATATGTCTAGAATGAAGACAAAACTGTTGAAACAATAACAAACTAAGATTAGTTCAGTGTTATGAAACTATAAAAGCACTACGCCACACAGTTTCCTTATTACTAATTAGAACAACATTGGAGCAACATGTCAATTCCCAGCTAATTATACCACTAGAGGCTGTAAGCGCAGCAAAAGTAGACACTCAGGTTACTCAAAGACACCATAAAAACCAAATCAGAAAGCAACTTTAAGACCAAAGATATACCCACATCCTTTAGAGCAGCTAGAAAGTGTGGGGAATAGCAAATAGTGTAAGCTTCCTAACTGTTTTCCAGTGACGCTTTAAGCGCTGGAGAAGGAGCAGGGGAGGGAGCACAATATGGTGAGACACAAACATTTTTCCCTCTTTTCATCATTTTAAGGAGCAATAAATGCAAGTTTATTAAACAAGTAATAGCTAGAAGTGTAATCAAAAGATTGGGCTCAAAACAAGGATCAAATGTTTTCAAGTCTCACTATCTCCTTCAGAAGATGATACAGACAGACATTTGTAACCTTTAATCAGTACTGCCCATAGGACACTTTGATAAAGCCGTACCTCTTAAGAAACAGCAATTCCATACAATTCACTTAGAACTCCTAAAATAATTACATTCTGAAAATAAGCATAAGTTTCAGTTCAGCGTTTAAACTTTCCTGATGTGTAATGAGGGTGAGCCACCACTGAAAGGCATAAGGGAACAGCACATAACATGTACCTTTTATAGTGGGCTTTGCACTCAGCACTTTTGCCTCTGAGCCGACAATCTTAGTTCAGGGGAATTGTTTTGTGCGCAAACAGCACAAATTTAGGCATCCGCAGGATTAACTATTAGTTTACACATCTGCGAACCATAAGGACACTTATTTGTGTGGCATATTTTAGGCATAAAACCACAGTGCCAAATACAGAAAAATGTTACTTTCATTATTAATGTTTATCTGTGTAGGAAGTAATAATTTAGTAAGATTAGTAGATTTAGGTTTTAAAAACAAAAAACCTGGCAAATCACTTCAGAATTCCTGAGGCTGTTAAAAAAAAAAAAAAAAGTCAGAAAGTTAGTCACAGAACTACCAGAGTCTTTCCATTTAGTTTTAAAGCTACTGCAAGGAACAAAATCAAATATGAAGCGTGAGACTACTGTGATTTAGTAACTTCACTTACACGAGCAATACAGTAATCCTTGGGATTTTCCTTCTCCAGACCGTATTTTTCCAGTGCTTCAATAACTGCAAAGTCTGCAGTATCCGTGGTGGACAGCAGGATTGTCTTGTACGGTATATTTGGTTTTAAACTGTCTGCATAAATTCTCAGTGTCCCACCTTGGAAACAAAATTTAATTAACAATGCTACCAGAGAATAAAAATACAGACATGCAGCCATTTATTATATTTCTAACAGAACATAATAACAAAGCCATTCAGAAATCATTTCGTCAATCCACTAATACAAGAAAAGTTACATAACATCCCTGAAAGAAATTTGTCTCTGCCACTGGTAAAAGACTCCACTGATGCTAATTTCTTAATGCCGATTTCCTAATTTCTCTAAGGAAGTCTTTTCCCCAGTGCTTCACCACTCTTAATATTACCTGAAGTTAAAATGAACATTGACAACTGGATGAAGAACTGACCTATCCCATCTTGACAGTAAGTTTGTGCTGACCTTCAAGAATTTCCTCTCTCTTTAAAAACCCCATTTCAGGTTTCCCTCAGGTGATTTTTTTTCTACACCTCTAACTCCTTCTTCACTACTCTTCCATGGACAGAATATATTATTCCAGGTTTTATCAGTACTAACATTGCTTCATTTGTTCATTTAACGATGATCTTCATACAAACACTGTTGTTGTATCCCCACCCCCAAGAATGTGAAATACTGGATCACTGATATTCATGAGATCTACCACAACCCTTTCTGCAGACCTGAAAAATTACTCCTTGCCATCCTGCATTTGTGCTACTGATTGCATTTTTACATTCAGGTCATTCAGCTTGTTCTTAGTGAAATGAATGACATTTATTTCAGAAGACTTCCTCAGTCTGTCAGTTTAATAAGTCCTTCCTTCTTTCCCAGTTTAGCACTTCTAACAAGATCAATGAGCATATTCTCTCCCATCAATTTGCCCATCGCTGAAAGCTTTGACTTGCACTTGTCACAAAACACGCTCCTGTGGAATCTTACCTCTACAAATCCTTCATTCAGTTACATCATAGATTAATCAGCCATGAAGTACAAAAAACATTGACTTAACTTCTGCTTTCTCCAAACTTACAGGAGTTGCTGGCCATAAACACACTCTCTCAGTAAACAGTTTACTGTTTACAACTTAACCAGAAGAAATCTAAGTACCTGAGTCTGGTCTGCCATCAGAACTGCGGAATTCCTGCATTCTCTTCTCTAGTTTTTGCTGCCGACGCCGTTTCATAACCACCTCAGGATTGGATATTGTGCGAGTGAAGCTGGTTTCAGGCATATCTTTGTAAACCTCAGCTGCAAGGCGAGAATTCTCACTGCCAAGTTAGTTTAAATAAAAAGAAAAGATTGTTATTAATAGCTTAAAATACATGTATACTCATTGCTTCATGAAGGATAAAAGGCAAGTAGAATCCATACACACAGGAGAACAATTAAATTATTGTAAGATGGCTTCTACATGAATTTCACTTTGCTTTTCACTGTCTGTGTACCCATGCTCACCTGAAAAAGACTACAACCAATTTAAGTACTGATGGTTCTAGTTTTCAAATTTAAAAAGGGCCTTCTACCTCTTTGGGGGAAAAAAAAAAAAAAGGCATTAAAGAAACTTTACATTATACCCCTAACTTTATTTCTGATTTACAATATCGCAAATCATGTGGAAACAGAGTTAGCATGTGCTTGCAGCTCATGCTTTTTCTTTTGCTGATGCACTTAAATACAATTCTATTTTAATTTAAGAAAAATTAAGATCAAGCTAAGTACCAGCACAGAATATTGGAAAGATCATGCATGACATTGTAAACATATCCATGCATAGCTGTACTACACATCTGAAAAATAATCATGAACTCAAAAAAAGAAAAATGCATTAAAAAAAAAAAAAAAATCAAGCTGAGCAGCTAAATCCTCTATTATGTCAATGAGTCAACTAATTTCTTTCATCTCTGAGAATCTGTTATCAACTAATAAGTTTTCATGATTCATTTTCTTCCTGGGTATGTTAAAAATCCACCATTAATGATTTTTTTTTCTGGTATATTACCTATGAAACGTACAGAATCTGGTAGAGAGACAAAGTTTCAATTAATGTAGAGCTTTCTCAGCTTTTTAGTTCTACATACAGTTATTCCTGCCTGACTCTTGCGCTCCAGTTTTCTGTACAAGGATTAATGTACATCCTGCCCTGTCTCAATGAATAAGACACAGCAGATTCGGAAGCAAGAGCTGAAGAACCTATAAGACTGGCTACCAAAATACATCTCAGAGAATAACAAACCAATAGTCAGGTGGTAAATCAAATGCAAACACCTACACACACTATTTTTTCTGGCAAAAGACAGAACAATCAAACATAGGGAGAGGAATAAACCTACTCTAGAGTAAATGCTCAAAAATAAACACAGTGGGGAAAGTCCATGTCACCAAGCATGTGTCTATTTCTGTACAAGACAAAGAGGTGGAAAAAAGCTTATTTAATGGTTTAAAAACAAACCTTGAGGCAAAATGTACATATAAACCACAGAAATTACCATCACGTATTCTCCTTTATGATGATATTGCACATGTGTCAACTACTTACTTTTGAAAGAAGCAACAACTTAATTGGTAGAGAGGGGGAATCCTTTACAGTAAGATATAGGTTAAATGAACAGATCAAAGTTTAAAACACTTACATATCATCCCCATGAAGAAGTCTATCATCTTTATCTGATGCCTGTCGCAATGCCTCTTTTTCACGCCTCTTTTTTTCTTTTTTTTCTTTTTTTGAGAGAGTTCGTTTGAAATTCTGAATTACTCCCTCTTTCTCTTGTTTTTCAGGGCCATTACTCTGAGCCTTCTGAAATAAATGAGTTTAAAACAACTTCCATCATTTTTAGACCAATGAAAAGTTAGTATTGGTTTTAACTTTCCAGATAAATCTGATTAAGACACAGTATCACTAACACAGAAACAATACTCCAGGCAACAATACTGCATTACACAGGGATGGGACTAATAGTCTCCAGAATAACATAGAAGGCAAAAATAATTTCATATTCCAAATCAGGTATGAACCGATTAAGCACCTTGTACTCAAGAAAGCGAAAAAGCAGCAGAATTTTACTTGAATAATGCCTATTATCTACTTGGCCTCAAAGATTTAACTGAAGGCTGAAAAAACAAATTTCTGCCTCCCAGTAAAAATACTTCACAAAACAACACTGTACTTAATCTGTTTTAAAGACAACCATGTTGGAGCATCAGATGAGAATAAACTGCAGAAAGAAAAACATTATAGAGGGCATTTCCCCTATGGTGCATTTTTCCTGAGTTGTCCTTCCAGTGTTCTCAAATTCCTGCTCCTTGCATACATAAGATACCTGTAATCCTAGGCTCATTTGCCTTCTGTAGAGAAAATAATAGAAGATGAGAGGCAGAAGGTGCAGGGTTTTTTGCTTCTATCAGGAAGTGAAGAACACAGAGAAGGAACATTGAAGATTACTTAATTCAGTGAATAGGAATAGCAAGTCTGGCAGATGTAGTGCAAGACACCATTAATTTTCTCTCCCCACCTCTAACATGGATGTATCCTGTAGTCAAAAGCGTAGTTTAAGAATAGCTCATGTACTGGTACCCAAAGCACCTTTAAAATTAACAAGCTGTAACTCCAAGAGCAAAAGAAATTTAGTGCTCAGCCAAAGATGAAAAACTTGTCTGAAAATAGCCCACACCGAACAGCATGTTTTCCATAGCTATAAACATCAAAGTTAGATATAATATATATAATTATATGACTTCAGGAACCAAAGTCAGATCCAATTTAATGTTTAAATTACTAATACAAAAGTATGGCTGATGCTCACATGTCCCCCATTTGGAAGGATAAAAAGGAAAGACCTCCCCAAAAGGAAACAGCCTCCCATCAGTTTTGTTAAGAAGAAGAATTTTTAGTTAACTCCCTCTGGCATCCCTCTTTGAAGGCTCTGCAAGAGGTACGATTACCTTCTAGGTGTTTGGCATCATATACTATTTGAGGAAATTTTTAATCCATCATACTAAAACAAATGAAGTTCTAAGTTCTCGGGGCATTACATGCTCCAGTACTAGACAGCTACATGGATCAAAGCACCACAAGCCACCAGAAAGACCACAAAAATGTTGTGTTGAGACGACGCATTTTAAGTATTTAAAAAGACTTGCTCCAGATGTCAAAGGTCAGCAGCAGTTGTTTTCAGGAATTAGAGAAGTAGAAATTATGTTTTGCTATATAAGCAAGTCCCACACATTTCAAAACTGCTGTTACTACTAGCATACTCCTAAAAGACTCACCTTTGGAGGAAGGGTATCATTTTCATTCTTCAGAACAAATCTTCCCTCTCGATCATCTTTGTTCCAGTTTAATTGTACAACAAGAGGCTTCTCATCTACATCTAATCTTCTTTCTTCTTCAAAAAAATGAAAAGTAGGAACAGTTATTTGGCACCTCAAGAGCAAAGATACTTAGAAACAAGTCGTGCTCTTAAAAAAAACAAACAAACAACAGAAAAAAAACCACCCCAAAAAAAACCCAACCAAAAAAACCAAAACCAAACAGGTTTGCTGAGCAGTACACACCAGTTGGTCTTTCCCTGTTAAGTATAGGGACAGAAAGCCTGGGAAGGTAGAAATGTGCATCCCCTTCCCAGCAACCAGCGTTAAGTGTATTCCCTCTATCTACATAAGCTAAAGTTCCACATAAAGTAGTCTTGCATACCTCCTTTGTCAGAACTGAAGTCTGGGAACACAAGATTATCACTCAGGAGGAGAAGCTACATCTACAGTTACATGTTTCAAACTTCATAACTTCAGGAGACTTCCAAATGGTCATTTCCCTTATTTTAAATTTAACCAGTCAGAACTACTAGTCTGTAAACATTGCACAAAAATAAACCAGCTTATGAAGTAAAAAAAAAATAAAATCTGTTATGCATAAATACTAGACAAATCTTCATTTAGTGTATTGTATCTATTTTGAGTATATTAAAAAAAATCTGAGCGGTTAAAAAAATTAGTTTTTCCATCTGATCTCCCTTCTAGAAGTAGGAGACAGTACACATGCATAGCAAGACAGTGATGTCTTTGCAGTTACATTTTATTTAATGAGAAACACTCCTATTGAATGAGGTGCCTCTCATGAGCCACGTTTTAAACATCAGGAACTTGCTCTGCAAAGGAAACCATTTCATTTTGACTACAGGTACAGTGCTAACAGATTTTTAAAGAAACCTAAAGCAGAAAACACACATGCTTATAACAGTGATGACACATGCACTTTTCCCTAATTCCATGCAATTCACATCAAGTCATCATTTGTAGACCATGAAGAGTGACACAATCTCAATATATTTCCATTCTCTATCTCAAGTGAAATTATTTCCAGTCTTTCAAAAGCAGAATTTAAAGTAGCTAAACCACTTGTGCAAGCTTCCCAAACACAAAAAAGAAAAAGCATGACAAAAAGCTAGTTTCTCCTATTCGTGTCTCCACCAACGCCACAAACATTACTGCCACCCCCTGGGGTGGGGGGACACAAATGTTAGCAGCATCAGAAGGCTATTTAGATATCTAAGTTCTTCACAGGTAACATGAAAGGATCTGTTTAAGAAACACAGTGGCTTCAAACAATAGTGTTGAACTTCCCCCAGTTTAGCAGTAACACGCAGTACAAGGCTACCTATCAAAGACTGACAACATCGAAGAACTGAGGATGTACTCTTAAGTGCTCCAATTTAATGCTCCTGATCTCCCATTATAAGTTCAGTCTTTACCTACTAGTCCTAAAAATAGCAACTCTCACACAAACGTCAACAAATTAACAGGATGTAAAGTAGAGCATTTAATAGATCATAATCGCAACTTACAGAAACTGTAGGCCTGATATGCATACTTAGATTTTGAAATACCACTCCCCACGTAACAATTAGTAGCAATGTACTTAGGAACTAAAAACTCTTACACGGTGCAGCAGCTGGGGGCAAACCTGAAGATATTTTGGGTGGGGCTGGATAGGAAGTTGGTGTGGATGCAGGGAAGATTTCGTGGATAAATACTAACCTCCGCTGACATGCACCTCGTAAAGCGAGTACTTAGGGGATGACAACATTCGCATGTCTGGTCGAAACTTCTCTGCAAGAGTTTCTATCACATCTTGAGTTGTGGCAGTACTAGAGACACGGATACATTTTGTTGCAAAATTTCCAGCTGCTTTGTCTTGAAAGTAGAATCTCATTACTCCATGAAACTCCAGATCCTGTAAAGATATAAAAATACAAATCTGAGTGCTGGCTAACAGTTATAAGGTTCAGAGTTCTTTTACTATTTATTAGTTACATATGTATCGTGAAAATACAAGACATTCAAATATCGCACTGGTTTTCAAAATTTTGAGGACAGTAGAATTTACTTACTAGGATACCATAAACTCGAAAAAACAAGAATGTTCTGTAAAAAGAAATCAAGTACTCTACATTACTGGAAATATTCAAATTTACAGTTACTGTCAGGTTTACCTGAAGGAGAATTAATAAAGATTTTTTTCTTTTAAACCCAGAAACGCATCTTGAGACTGATCTTAATATATTTTATTACCCAGGGCAGGCCCCTATATCCCACGTCTGTAAGAGTGCAAGCTAAATATGCTGGAGGAACAGCAATGTGTCCCAAAGAGAACAGCTTTCTGTCACAGCAGTCCTAAGCATTATCTTTTCTCTCCCCTTTCCCCTCCTTCATGCATTCCTCTCTCTTTTGTTGGCATCTGTTTGTCTCAGAAACAGCCCATTCAGGAAGCTAAATAATTTGATTTCCTTGTTTTATGTTATATTTTCAGAAAGGTTAGTCTTTGGTACAGGTCCCTAAACACTCTGGGAAGGAAGAAAAGCTCCAGTACCAACACATGGTGAAAGGGAGGGAAGAAAGGGACTGTTACTATTAACCATGAGGCTACACCACAGCCGCAACATCAATCTATTCAAAATATCGTAAATTCACATCCTCAAATATTTTCCTTAGCCATCAGAGTCCTGTCCTCCTCTCCAGCCTACCAAACTGCAGGAGGATGCTGGCTGCTCATGCGACTCCGTTACTGGTCCAAACTCCAAATCATATTTTAGTTCCCCAGCAGTCTCCACATGGCCAACTTGCATAAATCCCAGCACTCAAGGGGAATCAAGAACATTCAAGTGCCCTAGTTGACATTGCCAAGTTTACTCTACAGTTTAATAATCATTGTTCCTGTTTTCACTTTCCAGAGGCTTTGAAACAGATGCATCCTCAGGTGTAGTGATAGATTTCATGCTAAGCACAGCCCTTTCCAGTACTACAGCAGATCACACGGAACACATTACAACATTTCTTCAAACAGCAAAGAACCTGAGACATTTATTGAAGCTACTCTATCATTCAGAACACCTTTGCGGGGAAAGAAAAAAAAACCACCTCAAGCACCAACCAACAAAAAAACGACCAAGAAAAAAAAAAAAAAAAAAAGAATAAAAAGTGTTATAACCTACAGTAAGACACACATCTCGGCCACCTACATATACACAGAAGCACAGCTCTTCCCAGGGCGCTCCCAAGCCTGCACCAATACAGCAGTCAAATGCAAATGTACCATGGACCTAGATAATGGCTGATTTTACTTTATTCTCTGTTGTTATCCTAACAATTTATAGAATTAGTCTTTCTGAGCCTGAATTGGTGTTCCCACAGAACTATGTATTGCAATCCCAAACTAGCGTTCCTTCCTGCAAGGAGTTACAGGTTCCACATGCTTCACTCCAGCTTAAGTGCCACCTCCTCTTCATCCCTCTGGACTTCAGTGCAATTTTTCAAAGGCGGGTCTCCAGTCTTCTACCCTGAATATTTTTGTAACAGCTACTGCTCACCTCTGAAAAGCATCCGATCCACTTCATCTCTTGTCTCTAATTATCTATCTCCAATTATTAACTCATTATCCATATGAGGACTTACCCCTCTCATGCAGAAGGTTACCAAATGACTTCTGGAAATACTACTTACCATAGCAAATTGGAATTTCCTTACATGTACTCTTACTGACTCCTTCAGTGAGCTCCAAAAGGCTTAAGGCACAACTCCTCTTCACAAAGCTCCATTGACCTTCCCACCATCTACTATAATTACCACATGTCCATGAACTCTGTACATTACTGCAGTTTCCAATCAGCATGGGCAGCATCCTGAGTAAACATCTTTTTAATACTGGCCTCACACTGTATTTATATCCAATGACCTAAAGGTATCTAGTTAAAGGAGTCATTACGTATCAGTAAACCTACTTCATCCCTCACTTTCTATAGAGTTATTGGATGAACATCGTCTGGTTCTAGCAACTTGCTTTCATGTTTTTGGTCTCCAAACTTAACAAATGCTGACTTGAAAGAGAGTTCCTCTGATGAGCTACCCACAGAACGTTCTTGGCAGGGCAACCTTTCCAAGATTTTCAACAATAAGCACAGATGCAAAGCAAAAGTTTTCTCCTTTCGCCTTATCTTCTGAAAGTTTCTTTTATAAAGTGATCATCTCATGGCCCTACGGCTTGTGGTAGGTTTGCTACTACTGTGCCGAAAGATAGTTATTATTAAAGACTTTTTAAAATTCATTCCTCAAATCCTTTTGTTCTGTCTTACGCTTTTGAATTCTACTTGTGAGATTTTATATCCTTACAGTTTTGCTCATTCGGATACTACTTCAGCTTTCTAATAACTATCTTTGCCTGATGTTCAGCCATGCCAGCTTCCTTTCACACCTCCCTTGATAGCTGGCATGCTTTTGGTCTGTACCTCCAGCACGGCATCAATTCTCGGCAGGTGGTAAGTACTTTGCTACTAATTGCCTCTTTTAGCTTTAACAGGCTTCTGTAGCTACGCTGTATTTTGGATCAAGCTGCAGTTCCTGCAAGAAGAATGAATCTAAGCACATTACGATGTCTAGTTCGGAGAGCCTTCTCACCGGTAACACTGTGGGCCACATCCCACACACTCTTCAGGATAGATTTAAATGGTTGCCTCTTCTGTAAATACTCCTTAACCATGATGCTTCACAAAACAGCCACGACTATTTTTATAACCAACTTAAGGTTTTGATCCACTTGTTTGGTGTTGCAGAAGATGACGACATATGAGCTTTCTGCAGAAGTGTCATGAAACATAATCATACCCCATTAATAACATTTATTTCCCTTTACACAAGGTTTTCACCACCACCACCTCAAGGTACCGCTGAAGCAAGAGTTAAGAGAGATAATGAGCACATTGCAAATGTGGGGTTTTTTCAGCAGTTAAGTATAGTGAGAGATCCTATACACAGATAAGGTTCCAGGGGTTATTTTTGAGAGACGATTACTTCACTGAGAACACATTCCACTGTCCATTAGCCATACTCCTAATCCTACAGATTTTATTAATTTGTGAGCAAAGAAGCACAACATACATCTATTCAATGGTGTAAAAAACAGTTCAAGAAGCTCTCTAAACTACCAGGGGTTTATTATTAAAATTTTACTGCTAAAACTTATTTCTACTTCCAGACACTAACAAAGCATAGGTGACAATACTGCATTGTGAATACTCAACATAAGGCATTAGTATAAAGCAAATTTTATTTTCCTTTTAGAAAAGAAAGTAATGTGCTCTTCCAAAGAATTGTCACTTGAGTTTTGTTTCATTGCCTTGGCAATCTGGGTGTGAAAACAACTCAATGCATCAAGCACTGGCTGTCCATTTCCCCCCCATCCTCCTCTATAGTGGCTTCTCATGCTATGCCCCCACAGTCCACACACACCCTCACCTCCCCTCACCCCCCAATGTTCTAAAGTTTTCCATTAAAAAAAAAAAAAAAAACCAAACAAAAAAAAAACCCAACCCCAAAACCCCCAACAAAACCAAAACAAACCTGTACAACTGCATCACAATGCTCCACTGCTTCCCAAAGTAAAGCTCTAGTTAGTATAACGTTTCTTTTGCAGTAAGTTCCAAACCGTTCCTTTGGCCATTGCTCGAGTATTACAGTATTGAAATAAAAGTGATCAGTGATATGGAAGTCAGTGGTTTCACATTTCTAAAAATTAGGAAGGTAGAAGAGTACAAAAAGTGACACACACACCCCTCAAAAAACAACCACCCCCCCTCCAGTCTTCATCATTATCACGTGTGTGCATGTACATGTATATATATCTCCAGTTCAAGACACGTTTAACTTTCTGGCAATGCACTTAGCAGATCTATAACAAAACTTACACAGAGACCGATGCCACCACCCACATCAAGACAACAAGGTAGGCATCACATTTAAATTTCCACTCTCTGCTCTAACTCAGCTTTAAAGCGTTTGGTTTTGAGAGGTACATTTCATCCTCAAACTCACTCACTTCTGAATTTCTTTGTCAAGTCTGCTAGGTAGGTTCACTGCAGTTTATAAGATGGACTGGAGTAAAGAGAAGAGGCTGAAGAATAAAAATCACTTGCCCTAAATCAAATAGATATGCAAATATCTGTTACTGCCTAGCACACACTTCTAAGTGGAGAAATCTCCCCAAAACCTTTACAAGTCTCTTAAAACCTTCTTCCGCTAAAGATAAGAACTGCCATTCATAAATTACCAAAAAAGAAGTCCAAATGTTTTCTGGATTTCAGAAGTGACTAATTACATAAGTGTATGACAGCTCTTTTAAGTTCCCCTTGGTAATTTAAATGCATCATGAGCAATTTTAGTGCTCTCATCTAATCACATTTTAGATATTTTATGTATCTGCAGTGCGAGTCCGTGGCTCTTCAGGAAGGAATGTGAGACCAGTCTTCGGCTACACAAGTACAGTCAATTTTCTCCAAATTTTAATTCTGATCATCTAGACTGCAAAATACATTTTCTAAAGCACCTAGCAAAAGTCAGCTCTTTTTAAGCCTTTCAAACCATAAACAACATTTTCTTTAAATACAAAGCCTAATCACGCTTTTTTTATCATTATCAAAAGAACTTAGTTTCCAAAAGTATATCCTCCTCAAAAGAAGGTTCCAACTTACTTACATAAAAAAAAATAATTACCAGTTAACCATTTCTTGGTTTTACAAACAGAAGTCGGTTTTATCACCTCTTCATCAGGCACAAAAAAGAAATTATAAGAGCTTCAACTACTTAATTATGACTTTTTGCATGAAGTCAAATGACAGGCAGTAACTGCTTCAAAACCAACAGGTTAAATGTTTCAGAAGTGTGTCTTCAGAAAAAGAA